CTGTCAGTGTACCAGACTAAACTCCTAACCGTCAATTACTACAGCTCACCAATCACTGCTTCAGAGCAGATTCATGACCTAATAATGTCCAAAAACACAAAGACTAACTTCTTAAACTCTGCAACTCTGAAAGTTACAGATATGGTCACTAGGATGCTTTATTGGCATTCAAATGGCCAGAGAATGACCAGACAGATGTTCTTATAAAGCTAAATATAACCACCATATCAGAAATATGAAGTAGTTTTACATGCTAATTTAAAATTCTTTATATTTACATAGCTCACATTGTCAGGTTGGACCTACGGTGGCAGACAGGTGCCAATAGCTACAATGGCCTAAAACCCTTCCATTGGGAGAAACGTGCTGCATGCGTTTCGGGAAATGAGTGTTTTGGGATCCAAAAAACGTGCATCGTTTTTTAAAAAGCAGTGTGTTTCTCCTTGTTACGGCTGTATGTGTTCCCTGTTCCTTTTTCCCTTTAGTTCCTCTTCCCAGGTGTGCTGCATTGCTGCAAAGAGGTTTAGATGAGGTTCACCTGGAGAAGGAAGAGGTTAAAGGCTGCAGTTCAGCAGCAGAGGAGGAAAGGCCTGTCTCTCAACCCAGGATGAATATTTGTATATCTCACATGGTTGATTGTAATAAATCCTATGGATTTTATTATTTTAAAGGTGTATTTCGTGTTGTATTTGGGTCAGTGGTGGAATTTTGTTATTCCCATTGGGCCATTTTAAGGGTGGGGCATAACACGTGTTTTGGGCCATTTGTAGCACTTTTGCACCTGCGGGCCACGGTATGGACCACATATAATGAACGAAAAAAAGAAGAACTGCCTTTTTCAATCATTATATTCCTACTGAAGATTGAGAGATTGAGATCAATACTATAGTTCACTATTTATGTTAAAAGTTGCCATGTTGCTACTTACTAATATTTTACAATATATGTTTTCCATTAGTTGCCAAATACCAAGACACAATAACAAGCGTTGTCGATACCAGTGGTCGGGCTTTTGGCACTGCAGTGTTTTTGACTTCACACTGAGGCTGAACAATAGCTACAGCAATGGGAGAGGAAGTAATAACCCATAAACCTGCAGGAAGTAATCCCACTGCAGGTTTATGGAAATGTGCTCACCTACTGGCTGGATTACCAATTTAAAATGTAATGAGTCCTTGCTGTTATTCCTGTTTTCCTCACTTCTTTAATTTTCTCACATTCTTGCCCTTTCCTCCCCCCCCACCTTCACCCACATTTTCTCCCACTATAACTCTTTCCCTTATACTGTATCCAGGCCGGGGTAATAGGCCTCAAGTCGTAGCTTTTGTGGCCAAACAAATGCCTCATTGTTGCCGGGGAAGAAGTACCCCATAGCTTAAGGAATCACTTTGATATAGAGGCGGAGGAGGAAGAAGAGGAGGCGGGGGTGTTCTGGGTGATGGAAAGAGTTGAGAAAGATGAAAGAAAAAAGTAAAGAAAAACATTTAAAGGTACGAAAAGGTGAGTTTGGTAAGCTGTGCAACAGGAAGAATATCAAGGGCCAGTCCAAGTCCTACCAATGCTGTTGCTATGGGTTACCTGATTTATCTGATGTCCTCTTGGCTGCTTTTTCCACGAAGGACCTAGGTAGCAAAGAACAAAAAAGAAGAACATTGCTCTTTCCCCCCCTTTCCCTTTTACTACTTTCCCTTTTTCACATGTGTCTTGCTTGCTGTTGCTCAATGGGAACTGAAAAAGAAAACACCTAACTCAGCCCGAAGAAGGGCACTAACAACATTCTCTCGGGGGGCCTCTCCCTCCCATTCCTGAGGCCTCCTCTGGGTCTGAAGTGAGCAAGTGGAGTGCAAGTCCAATGATTGAGGTCCTTTAAGTGCCCTTGGAAGTCACTGAGGCATTAGCAATAAAGCACACCGGGCCCGCTGCTTTTCCCTGAAAAGCTCCCGAGTGCACAAATGAGGGGGATGGCGCCCCTCGCTACATGTCCTACGTCTTTATCACCTTCAGTCTTCTTATGCAACAAGACTCAGTAGCAGGACCGGGCCAATAGATTGTGTTCTCGGTGTTGTAGACTCTCTTCTCCTCAGAGGTTTGGCAAGTGCTACATGCAGGGTGGAGACATATTTGGACACAATGGATACAATCACTGGCTCTGTGGCTTTGTGCTGCACCTCAGTGAGCGTGAACATGACTACAGTGTCGCAGGAATGCACTTTACTGTAAGACTAAGTTAATAACAACACAGTACGCTGCTTCAATTGTGCTGAGTCCAGATTTACCCAGTTTCGGTCAGTCTAGCGTTGATGCAATATCAGGTGTTGACCGGTTCTTTTTTATTTCACTGTTGGATTTACAAACTTTAAATGGGAAGGTGAGATTGGGGCTCAGATTAAAAGAAAAGGGCTAATATGATAGGCTTCATTGTAGTCGATACAATAGAAAAACAATGGCTTTTTAAACACCTATTGCCTGGGGATTGACTGGACACTCATTTTGGACAGTCAAGACAGTATTGCCTCAGTTCATGATTCATTCCGTACAACAACACTCAAAGAGTCTACAATCATCTGACCAAATCACGGTCTCTTCAAACAGTCACAAGAATACATGAGAAATTGTATCTGAGGCCTCAAAACACGTATAGTTTCCTATTCCTATTTCCTATTTCCTCACTGTGTCAGAAATGCTGGATTTGAGTCATATAGTGTGTCATTTCTTCAAGATCCAACTTCCTGTAAAGCCCTTCAAAATGTTTTCATACTTATAAAAATAGATCTTGTTCCACAGCATGTCAATAAAGGAAAGTTCCTTCATGATTTCTGAACACTATACTTCTTCTAATACTAAAGTTAAGGTAGTATACTAACGCTGCCTAACTCATAGTCATTCACCAACAAAACATAGTTTGTTTTCTTTTATTTTTACATATGTTGTGTCTCGTCAAATGTGTTAGTTATGTTTATGTATTTTGTCTGTCATTTCCTGTTTTATTTTGTTCTTACCTCTTGTCTTTCATTTCAGGCCGTTTCTTCCTCCCCTTGTGTGTTTTTCCCGCCATCATCAGTGTCTGCCCCGCCCTGATTGTTTCCACCTGTTCCCACTCACCTCATGTTTAAATAGTCCTGTCTCTCCCCTGTCCTGTGTCAGTTCGTCTTGTTTGTTTCTCCGAATGGTCGTGCCAAGCCTCAGCTCAGAAAGGATCGCTTTCACTCATGTCAGGTTTTGTTTCTTTTGTTAATTTTGTAGGCTTAAGTTCTCTTTTTGTTATGCTAGTTTTTTCCTCCTTGTGAGCGCCTTTTGTTATTTCCAGTACCTACTCTGTTAAGAGGGATTACCTGATCTGTGAAATTATGTTTAAAAAATGTTTACATTCAAGACCTTGTCTCTGGGTCGTGCATTTGGGTTCATCAGTTTGTGTCGAGATCCTGACAACATATTTATAAAGCCAATGTTCGAAAGGGTATATCGGTGAACATAAGGGATAAAACCTTTATCCAGAGACCATCCTCCTAACAATAACTGTAGAAATATATTGCCTGTTCATAAAAAAGTTGCACACTCTAATATTTAGTCGGACGGCCTTTAGCTTTGAATGCGGCACGCAGTCGCCAGGGCATCATATCGATAATCTTCTGCAATGTAACAAAATATATTTCTGTCCAGAGTTGCTTGAATTTTCCGCCAAGATCTTGTATTGATGATGGGAGAGTCGCATCAGGGAAGAAAAACTCCATTGATGGAAAGACCTGGTCATTCAGTATATTTAGGTAGTCAGCTGACCTCACTCTTTGGGAAAATAAAGTTGCTGAACCTATAGATCTGACCAACTGCAGCAACCCCAGATCATAACACTGCCCATAGGCTTGTACGGTAGGCACTAGGCATGATGGGTACATCACTTCATCCGCCTCTCTTCTTACCCTGATGCGCCCATAACTCTGGACCTAGGTACTTTACATCTTGATTCATTGATTTGGTTTTAATAATGCGTTGGCCAGTTCTTAACCCTCCTTAGTTGTTATCTCTACTTGATGCAGGCCAATAATTTGACCCTTCTGAAACTGATTGATGTCTTCAGACATGGCTGTTTAAGAAATGATAAGCTAGTCACCACATCAGCTGTAGGGTTTAATAACTTGTTGCCAGCTGAAACATATCAATCACTGCAGTAATTATCCAATGGAAGGCTCTAAAATATTTGCTTAGTTAAATCCAGTTGGTGACTTTTTATTTGGACGGGAAGTGTATGTACATTTTGAGTCCCTTTGAACTGCAGTGTTCTAAATGAACACCATGTTACTGCCCTCTACTGCCCACAGGCAAACATAACAATCACTGTGTAAGTACAGAAGGAACAGACAATGTCACTTTTGAGAAAAATGTATTGAAAGACTCAATTAACCGATACCACAATGTGTTAAATACATCATTTAGACAAAAAAAAGAATGAAAAACCATTGAGTGTTACTACAATTACCAATACATCTACATGGAATCCTTAATCATGTCGGGTACTTTATGCAAATATGACACAAATATGACATTTTCAGGCAGACATCATAAATATGGAATCGGTATTAATGGAAAGACCTGGTCATTCAGTATATTTAGGTAGTCAGCTGACCTCACTCTTTGGGAAAATAAAGTTGCTGAACCTATAGATCTGACCAACTGCAGCAACCCCAGATCATAACACTGCCCCCATAGGCTTGTGCGGTAGGCACTAGGCATGATGGGTACATCACTTCATCCGCCTCTCTTCTTACCCTGATGCGCCCATAACTCTGGAACTAGGTACTGTACATCTTGATTAATTGATTACCAATACATCTACATGGAATCCTTAATCATGTCGGGTACTTTATGCAAATATGACACAAATATGACATTTTCAGGCAGACATCATAAATATGGAATCGGTATTAATGGAAAGTCAGGTCTCAGAAATCACCAATAAGAAGAGGTGACATCCGAAAAATGTATCAAGCTTGTGTTTTTGGCTTCTATGGGAAGGGGTTGTCGGGGGTGTAGTTAAAACTGGCGTCCAAGAACATGGCCAAGGTGCCCAGCGTGGTGATGATGACAAACAGCCAGAAGAAGAGGCGGTCCGCCACGAGGGCGATGTACTGCCAGTCTCCTGTTATCTGCAGGGAACACAGACTTACTGTAAGCAGTGACTCAGCAAATACTGTGTGTATGCAATGACACAGGAACATCAGAGTGTGTGGGACGCTGTGTGACCTGGAGCTGCAGACAGACTGAATAACAAGCTGCCTGACAGAGAGTGTGTTGCTCTCACCGTGTCCTCCGTGTCCTGCTTCTTTAGCTGCTCGGCCATGTATGTCACCGCAGCGATGGCTGACTTCAGGTGGGGGGGGAGGATCAGACAAAAGCGGTCAGTGTTCGGGAGCCGCTGGAGCTGCACTGGGCTCTCAGACCTGAGAAACAAGCGGGGAAAGTAGGGAAAGAATATGCATTGATATTAAGACATTTCTGCAACAACACATTTAGTCTTGGTCAAACTCTTTTCAAATCTAGCTAAGATTCCAAGATGGTTTCCACACTTGTGTTTCCTGTTATTTTTACATACACTGTTAAAAGCATTTTCTCTCTTTACAATACTTCTAATAATGGTTTTTTATTGTTTTACAATGGTTTCTATGCACTGATTTAGATTTTCACTTTTGCCACAAGCCATAGCCACTGACCAAAAGTTGATACTTATTTTTTTTTTTTATGCTTTTAATTTGTAGTTTTTAACAGTACAATTAAGATTAATATATTAGATAATTTTATATTTGAGCTTTTATGATCATTATATACAAACTTTTATATACAAATGAAAAATAGTAGAAATAGTGATTATTTCTCTGCCAGTGGATGCAAGAATCCGCTTCAAGACACTGGTGCTGGCCTACCGAGCTGTGAGGGGATCAGCCCCTTCCTTCATCCAGGCCTTGGTTAAACCATGATATACTCCATCACATGCACTACGTTTGGCGTCTGCCAATCGGCTTGCTACTCCATCACTGCGATTGGGACCCAGGTACCCCTCAAAAACATGCCTGTTTGCTATCCTGGCTCCTAAATGGTGACGTGAGCTCCCCATTGACATCAGGACAGCAGAAACTCTGCATATCTTCCAAAACAAACTGAAAATGCATCTATTTCGATTGTACCATGGCAATTAAGCTATTGGTGAGAAGAAGAAATAATCAAAGGTTGATTTAGGCCTTGGAACTTATTCACCAGGGTTGTCGAATAATAAAAAAATCAGCTCCTAACGTCTATCCCTATCGTCTATTCCTTGACCTCTGAGTGAAACGTCACGGGGTTAAGGGATAGTGGATAGGAGAATTCAAAAGGACTTCGGAGAAGAGACTGCGGTACTTTAGAGAATCCGACTGCACTTTTACTATCCAACGTGTTTATGATGCGCCAGCAGAGGTCATAAATGTGCGTCTGCTGCTGTGGGGAAACTATGGAAACTACAGTTTTCTATACAGCGGACTACAACATGGATGTTTAATAAGAACGAGGGACTACTGTAAACTCATCTAGAGACTCTGCACCGTGCTCTGATGCTGTTGTTTTATGCTTTATGAACGGGGACAACAGAGAAACATATTCTTCATGACCAAAGTTGGAATTGAAATAAAAAAGGAAAGTGAAACTTATGCTCGTCACCCTCTCCCTCCGGTCCACATTAATACAAATGATCCCAATACGTATGATTGTATGAACTGTGAAAAGATCTTCAAATCAATACAAATGTATTTATTATAAACGTTAGTCCTTAACATCTATCACTGTGTATATCACCATTCAAACATATTTTAAAAGTTGAACAAACCCCACACAGCTCAGTAAAGACTGTATGTTGACTTTATTTGATAATTTCAGTAAAAACTAACGTTCATATTTCTCTTTTTGATTATAATACTGATGAACGTTCAAAACAAAGCACTTTGGCAACTTACCACATACGTTTTAAAAAGCTTAATAAGCACCGTAACTTTCATGATATCATTTCTCTGTCATAATCGGTTGTTTCCGTGAACGGCCGACTGTTGTGTGACGGCAAATGCTGCGGCCGCAAGGCATTGTGGGGCAGCATTTTCTCCTCTCCTTTCGTAAAGGAAGGTCCAGTGCTTCCTAAGCTAAAGGAGGTTATAAAGGAAGTTTGAAACCTCCTTTCCTTTCATCTAGAGAATTAGAACGGCACTTATCATGGCTGCCACTGAGGGACTTCCGGGTCATTTCACTCCGTTAGGAAGGTTCCTAAGCTAAATGGACTATTCGACCGCAACCCAGCACTTAATATGGTATTGCTTGCTTGAAGTGAATATCCCTGCACTTTCCTTGTTGTTCGGAGTTTGAATCTCTATTGTTTTTGCACTGATTGTAAGTCGCTTTGGATAAAAGCATCGGCTAAATGATATGTAATGTAATGTCTTGTGAGTAGTGCCATGCTAATATTCCGATGCATGTCCTCTGGTGGATTTTAACAAATGCAGCTTCCCCCTTCACAAACGCTCAATAAGCTCAGATGTATGTGTGAGTGTCACCAGCACAGCATGGTTCTGCTAAAACAACCCATGGGTGACATTATCTGTCAGGTGAAGGACGGGCAGAGATACGTAGATGTCCGTGTTGTCGCTTCGTAGCGTACACTATGTGCCCTTGTGTGCCCTCTGGCTCCTGACAAATCAACCGCTGCGGCCCTTCATGTGGCTCCTCCAACGGTGAGTGACAGCAGCAGCACACTGACACAACGCTGGGTCAACATTCATGTGATACCATGACCTTTGACCTCCTTCATTCTTCCCTTCAAACAGCTGTTCCATAAACCAAAACATATGAGCTGTGAGGGAGTCCTATTGACAGCGTTCCTGTAGTGCCGTCATGCCTAGAAATTCATCTCTGAATTCACTTGAAATGATGTAGAAGGTATAAAAAACTAAAATCAAATACATATGAAATTAGGGTTAGGGCTAGGTATTATTATATAAAATCAAATATTTAATATAATAATCAAATAGTTTATATAATTATAAAATGCTTATATTTTTAATTAATAAATTATAAAATACTTTGATAATAATAATCAAACATTTACATTATTGAAATAAACAATAACTAAAGGAATAACTTATGTTCATTTAATAAGTCATTAATTTTATTTTTGTTTCAATAATTGATTGTACAATTATAAATATTACGTTTTACATTTTTTAAATATATTGTTTTTGAATTAATTAATTTATTTTTCTTTACTTATTACTGTTATTTTTTTTTTCTTTCCCGTGTTTTTTGAGATTTGTTATTGTTTATATGGAAAAAAGCAATGCATGATGGTTTTACAATGAAAACATTTGAAACTCCAAGAATATATGTGTAGCCTTTAAGTAGATTCACACCCTCATTATTCACCCTCACTCTTCATCCATTTATTTATGCATACTTGACCCAACACGTATACTTTTTTAACACAGCAGGTGAGGTCACGGAGACGCGTGTCCGACCACACTCGAAGAAGGCGCTAACTGTTTGTTACAGATTTAACTTCCTCCTGCTTCCATCACCCCCCATCACCCCCCATCACCCCGTTCACCCTTCACCTCTTGTAAGACTTGGGTGTGTTTTGAAAACCCTTATTGTCAGCTGAAAACTGTAACTCAACATCCTATTTTATTTATTTTAGTCATGTTCATTTATTTCTTAAGTTTGTGTATTTTAAAATGGGTAACAGCCATTTCATTAAAGATCCTGATCACAATGAAACTATTTGATAATTTTTTTTGCAAGAAATCACATTGCTTCATCACTTCAGGTTAGATCAAGCCTATGTAAAAAATCAAAGTGTATACTCTGAAATAAGCCAATAAATATAAAGTATTAAAAAAAAAAAAAACCTTATCACCCCACATATTTACCACTCAAATGTTACGGAATATCCAAGTTTTATTCTTGAAATCTACAACAATCTCAATCTCTAAAATCCCCTCACTGTGTTTCAGGTCTGCCACGCCCCTCTCTGTGTGCCTAATTACCAACAGCTGAAAATAATTGAAGTCTCCCAGAACCAGTGATCGGGCTGGTTCTACTTTTGTTGAGTTTAAATCCAATAAAACCCTTATTGGGGTTTTTTGATACCACCTTGAAACAGCACCGTTAACTCATCCTTTGACTTATGATACGTTTAAGGACTCCTTGTATTGGTTCATCTTCTTTGTGTCCTGTTTTGTGTTTGCTGAGGGAGCTGGGTGTTATCTTTTGGTTTGATTCTGCAGACTAATCAAATACATTTTCGTTGTGTTCATTTTTTTTAAGAGACCATATTTTCGCTGCAACCAGCAGCTTAACGTTGGTTGGTCGGTCCGTTGGTACACAGACATATCCCAACCCTATGCAGCCACAGCTTTTTGGAAGTTAAAACGTTGTCATCAAATAATAAATGCCATGCAGGTGGGTATCTTATTTTCTGGGTACTAAAAATTGAATTTCCAGTTGCATGTTTGTGATCTTTGAATATCAGTCCTGCCAAAGTCTTTTTTACTTTGCATCAAAAGGCATGCATACATTAGTCGATGACTACCATTTTTCATCTACCTTCCTAAACAAATGTATGTATGTATTATTGTTTCAAATACAGTATATTTTTTATGTATGTACATTTTCTTTCTTGACTTTTACCTTATGTTGTGTTGGTGAGGAAGGAAAATGTTGTGTCATGTTTAACTGTGAATGTAGTGTGTGTATTCAAGACCCCACTCACTTGGTAAAATACAATTATACAGAAAACGAAGCTAAAACCTTTGTTGAAAGTCACGTGTTTGTGAGGTCGTGTTTGTGTAAATGCATAAACGCATAAATGCATGGATAAATGTGAATGTGGACATACTGTAGCTATTGCAAAATGATATGCTTCCATTCCATCTCTGTTAAAGATAATCTATTGGTCCGATTTTTTGCAAAGGTTATTTAAACTTCCTGTGCTACCTGTCCCCTAGACATTGAGTTAAGGTCGTCACGATCGTGCTGCCCCTCCGGCACCAGAGAGGGGAAGGCGTCAGTGAGGGAGCGGGACAACTTATCAGGGTCCCAGAGAGACAGCGTGACAACAGATGGACTGCGGGACAATAAAAACGAGGGACCAAGAGCTCCTGCAGGAATGGTGTTGTGTAAGTGTGTGTGTGTGTGTCTCTGTGTGTGTGTGTGGCCACAGCTCAGGGCTGAGCGGCGCTGAGCGCGCTGCTCCACACGCTGCGTGCCAATCACATTCCACAGCTTTACACTGCTGATGCATGGAGCCTCTCTCACCATGACACACACAAACACACCCTCACACAAGCACATGTACAGTGTTGGTTTCAGAGGTGGAAGAATTACTCAGATCTTGTACTTAAGTAAAAGTAGAAAGTGTAGGACTACTCTACAAGTAAAAGTCCAGTAATCAAAATGATACTCAAGTAAAAGTAGAAAAGTATTGGCATCTAAATATACCTAAAGTATCAAAAGTAAAAGTTCTCCATATGCAGATTGGCAGATCACATCATATATGTTTTGATTATAAGTATTGATGTTTTGATGTGTTTATCACGCTGGTAAAGGTGAAACTAACTTTAATTAATAAATGTACTGTTGGGTTGCATGTGAATTTAATCCAGGTATAACTAAAGGCTTATTTAAGTGTTGATCATATTGTTTATCATTAATCTATATCTGCAAAGTAACTTAAGTTACTACTCTATATTTAACTCTGAATTGTAGTGGAGTAGAAATACAAAGTTACAGTACATAAAATGGAAATACTCAAGTTAAGTACAAGTATCTCAAAAGTGTACTTAAGTAGAGTACTTGAGTGCATGTACTTAGTAACTTCACAGCACTTACAGTGTTTTAAAATGGAGTTAAGCGTCCTCAAACATGCAGATTATTCTCATAAATGTGTTTTTAAAGGACACCAACTGGCTTTAACCAGCCCTCTGACAGAATAAAAGCTAAACCAGCCGACACAGACGGGATGATGGGGTCTGACCACCGTCTCCGCCACATCAAAAACGCCAAATTCCCCCCCCTGCCCCTATCACTCAACACCGGTTTTCCCTTCCACTCATCTATCCCTATCTGCTCCTCGCAATCTCTCCACCTCCTTTCTGGGGGATTAACCCCTAATGTCCAACCTAAACAGAGGCTTAGAGGCTGGCGACTGTGGGCCGCGGGTGTGGGGCTTAGACGGGAATGAATATGATGCCTTTGGAACGGGATGAGAGATGCCCAGCAAAAAGGGTCTGGTTCAGAGGGCTGGAGCTGTTTATAAGGCCAATGTTGGCAAGGCTGAGGCCTACTGGTACAGATGGTGTAGATTAGCCAGAGTGAAGACATTGGTATACCCTGCATATACAGAATACACTGAAAAAACTGAGACGTTGACTTTAATTAAATGTATTATGTCAACAAATTACACATATTAGTATTAGTTGATAGCAATAATATTACACTCAACTAACCTAATACAATTATGTGTAATTTGTTGACATAATACATTTAATTAAAATCAACGTCTCAGTTTTTTCAGTGTAGGGACTCATCCTATGCTCAGATCATGTCAGCTCGTTGATCAAATGTCCAATGTTGTGACCATCCAATGAACTGTGGAGGTATTTCGCACCCAGTAACAAATGTCCTAAGTTACAATCAAAGTCAAAAGTTACAATCGTTGTTCATGGGAATCCGTCTAAAAGTTTAGATAATTCAGTCCGGTACCAAGCTACGGAGTGATGTTGTTTTCACGTTTTTAGCATGGAAAAAAAGGTATGTGCATGCTGTTGTGTTTTAAAACAACGCTTTAGCATCTTAACATTTACAACATGAACCTCGTAATGTCGATATGCTGATTTAGCCGGTTTTCAAAATGTCTCGAGGTAATAAATCCAGTGAGAAATCGGGTAATTTTCTCATAGAATTCTAAACAATTGGCCTTTATTTAAAACAGAGGAGTCCCCCCTTGATATTAAAAAATGCAAGTTTAAGGCACTTAAACCTGGATGTTGCCGCTTGCATGATTCAAGATATCCTAATGCACATACACACGACATACTCATTAATCTTTCCAATTGATCCTTCAGGCTACCTTTCATATAGCTGTATTAAACAGGGTTGAATAAAGGGCACACACGGTTACAGATTCTCTGAGCTGCTGTGGAGATGGCTGTAATCCTGCCAAGTCTAGCACGCTGTGTACTCTACTGTAATAGCTAGCCTGGCATCAAATCCAACTTTCACACTTTGGCACTTCCTTAAAAAGAAGATTCATGGCTGCACTTGGTTTTATTAACGTTAATAGAAATGGCTCTCTGCTGTATTGTCAGGATCAGCGTATCACAGCCTGGAAAGAAGATGAATTACACTGATAGGGATTACTTCAAGTCTTTGGTGTTTAACAGTCTTGACAGGTATTAGTTTTTTGGCACTTTATCTCTCAAAAACTCAACCACAGAAAGACCTTGGTTCCTCTTAGGAGTCACAGCATTTGCACACAAGTAAGGGCACATTTATTACAGTTCAGAATTTGTTTTATTTTTTGCGGCCCAATTAATTTTGACTGCATGTCACAATTCCACTGAGTTGATTAGAGGGTAATTCAGATCACCTGTTGCACAGGGTGTGTGGACTGGCTCCTAATTAGGAATTGAGAGCAGCTTGGTGCATTTCCATCTCAGCCAATCAGAGAGTGAGGATGCCTTTTGTTTAGGGCTTAAGAGAGGAAGAGAAACCAACATGCTGATCCTTCCGCCACTTAATGCAAGCATCATCTGAGCAGATATTGCCAGCTGGTTTTTATGCCCTTTAGAAATGTTGTTTTAACTAGGGTGACTTTGATCATTCTGAAAACCTAACTGGAGAGAATATTTATACAAAACTTTCCACTAGGTAACCCTGTATCAGGGCCGTCTTAGAACTATTTCATACCCTATTATTTTATTGAAACCCCCTTCATTCTAAAGTCCTTTTAAAAAAATATATATTTTAGTTCGGCAGTCTTATGATTCCCTGGCTGCAAGACAGACCTGAGAAAAAGACACCGTCACAAGAAAACAAAGCTGGAAAACCTCAAATCCACACTGAATCAATGCAAACATATTGAAATAATATCCCTCATTATTTGATAATCGTCATTTCCTTTTCCCCATATATTTGAGCTGAATGTCACAGTTCCCCTGAGTTGACTGCAGGTTAATTGAGATCTCCTGTCGAGCAGGGTGTAGGGACTGACTCCTAATTAGGAATTGGAAGCAGCTTGGCTTCATTGACTTAATGCAGACCATCTTTTTCTCATGGTTCTTTCCAATTAGATGAAATGTGTGGAATTGCCATACTTCAGATGTAAAGGTCCCCATGAGGGATCCTTAGGAGATCTGCATCAGATTGTAGTTCCGTCAGTCCTAATGCAGTATAACACATTATATTATGGACCTGTTGGTTAAAAAAACCTTGATTCCTTATATTTAAATGTATTGGTACAGTTATTACACTGTACATTGTCAAGAATAAGTTGTACTCTAAGGAGTTACCATACCACGGCTCCTAATACTAGGATGGGTTAAATGCAGAGGTCAACTTTCACTGTGTGTGCTGTGTGCATGATCATGTGTGACAATTAAAGAGGACATATTTGACATGTTCAATGTGTGCTAACAAACTTATTGTGGATACTTTCTTTGAATAACCAGATTAACTTTATTCCAGTTTGTGAGTTATTGGAAAACACCTTACCTACTAAACAAATTGCCAGTTCCAATATACTTTGTAATTTAGAGTAATTGGCATGATGTAAATGTATCCTTACCTTTCTCTCCACGGCAGGACGAGATCAGGGTTGATCTTGCGAAAGAAGTACTCTCCTCCAGGCTGCCTACCATTGAAGAATGGGTTGGGAGAGTCATCACTAGAATCTTCTTTCAACATAGGTTCTTCTGGTTTTGGCCTTGCCATGCCGATGTACTTAGGCAGGAAGTGAATGAATACCTGTCATAATATAAAGACATCTGTGAGACCAGGGTTTCTCGAAGGCATTACAAGAGCCTGGATGGTTGCTCATAGAATGTTTTTGCCTCACCGTTCGAACCCAGTTGGGCATAATGTGTGTACTGGGCGTTCGGTGGTGTAAATTGATGACAACAACACTTAGGATGACAGAGAAAGTAACCAGGATCATGGTGAACATGACGTAGTTGACAATTATTGGGATTCCAAGGGAAGTCTCAGGGACCCTGTCCGCCAATAAGAGCATGAAAACAGTCAGAGCGATGAGAACCGAAATGGAAAGAGTCATCTTCTCTCCTGCAGACAACAGGGAGATACATTTTAACAGCAAACCCCAACTGCATGGTTACATTACATTTTTGTTGCAATTAATGAATCAGCTTTATCTTTAAAGATGGTTGACAACTTCCCAATGTAACACTGTCACATATGACCTGAATCGAGTTTATGCTAAAACTTGTCATCAATCCTTTAGCTTCCTGGTAAATCCATATTTTTCGCTATGTCAGTAAAACATTGCTTTGCAATCAGGCTCTACAATGCCAAAGATTGACAAAGTGCATTCCTGTACAAGGTCACTTTCCTTCAATCTGTAATGTATCAATACATTCCTTCAAAGGTTTGTCTGCCTTCTGATGTAGTATGTATTGGACTCATGCTTCTTCTCATGACATAAGACAATGCATCAAGGCAGAGTCTCCTTTCCTACATCCTGTCTTAGTGATGTGTAGTCAGTGTCAAAACATGTCAGATGTACTGACCTGCTCCAGGAGGCAGGTAGAAGACAAATATAGCCAACACCATGGTGAGGATGCAGGGCATGATGATGTTGACGATGTAGAAAAGAGGCTTCCTCTCAATAATGAGGTAGAAAGTGATGTCCTCGTACAAGTCCTCCTTAATGTGCTTTCTGGAGGGTTTGTGACAGATTGCCCATTCTCCGTTTTCTGTAAAGAAAGAGACGTACAAGGTGGAATATGTGTTACTAAGAGTATATAGAGGCAATATTATAAGGTGCTAAAAAAACTGGGCTTTAGGTTCTGGATGAGGTCAATGTAGGCACCAACCAGTGAAAGCGTTCTCATCAATAACAATCTCCTGAATCTCTTTATTTTCCTCGTCCAGAAAGTACTGCAGTTCCACCTCAGAGGCGTCGTAGGTGTACGAGCGGAAAACCATGCTGCAATTCTGCCAGTCAAATGGAAAGTACGATACCTATGGGAGTGGATATAATGATATATTGTTGAGTAAAAACACATGGTATTGCTTTTTTAACAATAGCCTACCTCTATAGAGCAGGAGCTGCGGTAGATGGCTGGGGGAAGCCAGTTGACTGTCCCATCACTGTAAACCAAGACGTTGACGTACAGAGCCACGTCAAACTGGCCATCATTACTGTAGGGAGAAAATAAAAAAATGTGGTGCACATGTTAGCATACCATGATAATTGACAAGTCATTCTACAACCTGGACCCTGTAAATACAATTCCCTTCTGTATACTGTTGATACTGTACGGATGTACTGGGACATAAATGTATCTATCAACACACAAATCTGTTAACAACATTATTATCGTGTCAAAAGCAAATTGCAAATCAGTCAATATGGCTACATGACTCTTGCCTGTTACAGATGTATCATTATCTTGCCCCTCCTAATCTCTGTCATTTATAAGAGCACTATGCAAAGGTATTCCCTTCATTTTAAGCATTTTCTCCTTTATGCCAGCCAATTAAAAAAAATAAGGCTGATTTTAAAAAATAAGGTTAGCGGTGCTTTAAGCTAAATGCTAACGGCAGTATGCTAACACTCTGGAAATGACAACTTAAACATGCTGATGTTTAGCCGGTTTGTAACATGTTAGCTTATATCATGCTAACATTTGATACTTGGTTCGTAACAGGAAATGAGGTTGATGGGAATGTTATTGTGTGAATTTCGGCTCCACTGCAAGTTCACCAATTGTTATTTGATTCAAAACAACAAATGCAACGTCATGGTGGCGTTTGAAGAACATGGGAATCATGGACCATAAAGTGTCCCCAAACAATGAATATATTTGTCTTTTCCAAACAAGCAGTGGACCAAGGTAGACCAACATGGCCGTCTATAGAGCTACGTCGCTGTGTTTTTAATTGTTGGCAAAACCTCTGTTAGTTACTGTATGCTGGTTGATATGGACATTTGCCCGAAGATAAGACACTCACTTGTTAATGAGGTAGATGTCAGGCCGCCACACCTTGTTCGGAGGAATCCTCAAAACTGCAATGTCGTCATATTCCTCAGGTTTCCATGATAACCTGTAGTCTATCCATGCCTGGGAAGAAAGGAAGACCAAAAGGGAGCAAGTAGAAAGAGAGTTAATAACAGGGATAGTGGAGCAGACAGTAGATGTATCTGTCACACACTCTTGTGTCTTTTCGAGTCATTTCAATCCCACTGACCCAGACACACACTGTCACAAACACTCAAGCTGTTGGGAGTTTCAAATAGCGAGGGCGAGGGACAGAAATTAAAGAGCGAGTCAGAGAATAAGAGGGATAAAGCAAGAAATCATTTTTAGTTATAGTAAGTGACAAGTCCTTTAAGAAGCGGAGCAGTGGATAGGGAGAGAGAAGACGGCAGAGTATGGCTCAGTGATGAGGATGAATGTTTTCATACCATATTCATGAACACGTTGGTCGTCATTTCTTCGTTCTTCTCATTCTGTAGTGGGATAGAGAGCAAATGAAACACAAGGAGTTAACAAATAATCATAATAATTCATACCAATGTTTTTGCGTGGATGTGTGTTTGTATTTACCAAGCTGACAAGCTGAGAGAGCGTCATTCCCACTCGTACCATAACCTTATCCTCCCAGTTCCGAGCAGGCCTGACTTTCATGTTGTAGTTCTTGAAGAGCTTCTGATGGAGCAACTTTTCTATATCCGAGGCTCCTGGAGGAAAGGGTGGATGCAAAGAGACAGGAAGCATTAGGGGAAAGCCATACCTAATGAACCAAGAGCCAACACAACTTGGAAACAAGACACAACACTTGGTAAAAGTAAGAGAAGAAGGGAGTGATATTTTTCATCCAATTTAAATTGCTTTGACAAGAGGATTACTGGCTTGACAATCATTTCTGAATACCTTCCAATTGGCTTGCTATTGTTGTACAAAATAACATTTGATAAAGAATATACTTAATGCAAAAAGTAAAAAAATTAAAGCAGAAGCAGGGCCTGATCTCAAGTAGATCAGTGAGAAAGACCACAGCTGTTGGTATGACACAGGGTACAATACAACCAAAGCACATGACCCCCACCAAGACCACAGTGTGTTTGTTCTCTGTGGATCAGTGAGTCAGGGGTTAATTTCCCACTGGGATGACCCATGCTAAAAATATTGTATGCTCATGTATACTTACTATGGGTGGACTGTTTTCTGACTCATAGTGTAATAGTATTAATACGCACATTATTACTCTTTAATCTGGAAATATATGCGGAACAGAAATGATGAGAGTTCGATCTGTTTACCTTGCAGAGGAGTCTCGGGAACATGAATTGGGTTTTACTACCTTTATTGACTTTGAGGAAAGGTGTGACATTACATGATGTGTTTCAATAAAAAAAGATGATGGACTGACCTTCCTCCAAGATATGTAAGAAAACAATGTACTGAAAATACAGAGAAGGACAGAGAGGACATGCAAAAGACGCAGGTCAGGTGCGTATGGGTAGCAAAGGTGACTGAGCTAATGTAATTGATATGCAGCAGGGGGATGGGATCAAAGGGATGTCTTGGATACCAGTTCCATCAGGGCCAAAAATAGACTGATTAACAAACAATGATGTGTTAATATGATTCATTAAATGTTCCAGCGCAGGAACAGTCTTGTTTTTTTTTAGCCTTTTAATGAATATTTGACGAGACATAAGTTCTTCTTTCTACTGTGATTTACCCCTTTAAGGGTTGTTTCTCTCTCTGTATTGATGCTGTTGGCAGTTCTCTTTGGGGAATTCAAATCGCCATAGGTGTAAGAGGGGACAGGAACAATGTATTACAACCCCATCGGAGGTCTAAAAGCAGCTTTTTACTCTACTCCCATTGAGGGATCAGAAGGTCCCTTTAGCTGAGCTCTGATAAGAACTAGGCGTTGCAAATCGATTCTAATTATGATTTTATCCACAAAGAATAGAAGTGGTGGAATCAATACCAACTGAACTGACGGAGAGCAGTGAGATTTTGTTATCTTAATTGATGAAGTTAACCTGAGTAGAAAACTGCTTAACTTTTTAAGTGTTTCCTCACAAACAGAGATGGAAAGGTCTATCTTCTAGGCAGCCAAACAAGTAAAAAGGTAGGCCTGATGTGTTGGTGTGACATAGGAATGTGAAGACTGCACCACAGGACGCCAACAAGCACAGGGCATTTGTTTGTTTTCCCAAGCCTGATATTGGGTTAAAGGTCAGATTCTGTGAAACATTTTTGTTTTTCTTTCAACGTATCCCTATCTCTCCTTGTTACTGTACAGTTCACCATTAAAGGTCACCTATTATGCAGCATCCACTTTTTCATGTCTTTTATACATACATATGTGTCCCCTCTGTGTAAAGAGATTCTGAAAGTTTCAGGAACAAAGACCCCCTCTATTTGTATATAAAAACCTGTATGAAAATGAGCTGATGGGGGTTTATGGGATGCTACAATGCATGATCTGTTTGGTATTTCGAGCCAAACACTTCAGAGACATGTTTTGTATATAACTGAGGACTATAATATATTGATGAAAAAGAGTATAATAGGGGACCTTTAAACGTGACATTGGGTTTGCAATATTAGAGCCAACAAATGCTACACCTCTTTTGTACAACGAATTAGATTAAGGAACATACATTCAGTTTGATCAAATATAATGAAAACTAAACAATATCAGTTGATTTCAAACCGAGAAAGATAAGATAAGATAGATCTTTATTGATCCCCATAGGGAAATTCATGTGTAATAGCAGCACCAGAATAAGAGAGAAACACAGACAATAAACATGAGAATATACACAGGGATAAAAATAACAGAAAACAAAATTAAGGATAAACATTTACTGTAGTAACAGTGACTAGAAATGATATGAGTTCAATTCTGATCGGGTGAATGTTCATATATACAGATATGCCCAAACATTGCAACAAGCTCCGCATAAAATGTCCTTACCGGTAAAAGTGATGCAAAGGCAGCTGCATACGATGATCAATGCGTTCATCCTTGCATGAATGATCGTCCTCATCTTCATTGGTCCAATCATGACATCTTAAAATGTTTATATGCAATCAAAGGCCCCACTTTGTCCCAACTGCGCTTTCCTCTAGAACCCTCGATACAGCGTCCTGAAAAGAAACACCTTTCTGGCTCTTAGCTACATGCACACCTTCAGCTGGATTGCAGCTCGTTAGCACCTTCAGCAGCACACTCTGTCAGCTCTCTGTCTCCCTGCGTGTCTTTGTGGCCATGGGTGAAACCACGGCCTGATTGGGTGGGCACGCTGGGAGTGACAAGAGGGCGGAATGTGTTTGTACTGGGGCAGGCACCTGTTGGTGCTCGCCAATGTGTGGTTTTCACTGCTGTGAAGAGTAAGTGGAGGGGGTGGGATGGGGTAAAGGAATGGGTATGGGTTATGACAAAGGAGATATTTTAGGGGGGGGGGGGAGGACAATTGGTCATGGAGTTCATTGAATGTTGGACTTTCTCTTTGGATGAAGAATGATTGGTAGTGGTTCGGAGCTGAAGTTGTTTATAGGTGGCATCTCTTGATAATTTCCCTTTTATTGCCTTCATCATCCTTTAATTGAAGTCTCCCCTTCTCTCCTGTTCAATCTTAATCTCCTCTTCCTCCCTTCATCCCTTCACATATTAATTTCCACACACTCTTCATTGTGCTACATTGTTACTGGTCACAAAAGTGGAATCAAAGCTGTGCATTGTATCACAGGGTGGAATTGGTTCTCAAGAATTCTATAAGTTGTTATAAAATATATGTAAAAATGATGGGCTGTTGGTTTTTAAATCAATGTTAATCTTTGACCTATTGACTAAAATGTACACAATAAATGAAAGGCAACATTTTTCAAAAGTTAATTTTTCCAGCATCCTAACCCTAACCCTAACCCTAACCCAATTGCACATATAATCTAAGATGCTTTAATTTGCTTACCAAATAGTTTAGATGGAACCTGGAATTACCATAACTTTGATATTACTATAGTGATGAGAGTTCCTCAAATTAAAATACAAAAATGCAGATAGAAGAGCAGAAAAGGCTCAAATCTACAGTACAGATGCTGGGGAGTGAAAACCTGCAGGATGAAGTTATGGAAGCAGACTCCAAAAACTTCCAAACATTTTGGCAGCAGCGGTGTGAAAAATGAGTTTGAGCAGAGAAAGAGCATCTCAGTCTTGCTGATATAGAGTGAGCGAGAAGCAAGAGCATATAAGCGTTTCCAGTAAGATGTAAAAATAGAGATGGACGTTGTTGCCATAGAGATGGTGAGAAGGAGACGTGAAGACTACAAGTGTTACGATCAATGAGGCAAAGGCCTTGCAATGAACTCTTGGATATGTCGCTTTAATCAAGGTCATGTCTGTATTTCAAGGGTCGTGAAGTTAAAGTCTGTTATACAAGATAAGAAAATCATCACCTTCTTCCCAGTACTTACTCTCTCTCATACCATCCTCCCTCCCACATGCTGGGCAGGGATTCCACTGCAGGAGCACAAACAGGCCATAAATCAGACCCCAGGCTGGGAAAATTCCTCCAACTTTCCCTCCTGCATGCGGACACTTAGTCAGAATAACCAATGTGTGTTTTGTGTATCTGTTGAATAGCCTGTCTTCTCAATGCTACAGTTTCATGCAAGGTCAAACATACCTAATAAGCTGCAATTCAAACCAGAATTAACCAGATCTGTAGTAATTAAGTTCTATCGGCACTCTTGCCACAATGAGCCTTAAACAATGACTGCAAATCCTTCATATTAAACTGCATACAATATATGCAAGAGTGTATGTACACACAGCCCATGCAGCAGTGTCCAGTAACCTCTGACAGTGTGTGTCTGTGTGTGTAGGATTATAAATAGCAGAGCAGGCAAGTGACAAGCGTTGGTCGCAACCAGTGGCGACTGGTCATTAGGGGCAGGTGGGGCACAGCCCCACCTAGTGTCAGCAGAAAGTATTACAAATAATGATTACAAAAATGCAAAAAAATAAATAAAAAAATATATAAAATATATTTTAAGATCATGTTTAATCATCTGATTCGTCTGTACATTGCTGTTTTAGTCTGTGTTCTTCTAATTAGTGTGTCTACAGTCACAGTGTGTGCCTATTGAGCTGTTTAGAGCCATGTGGGACAAAACCTGATCGTGCCCCTTCCTCTCGCTGTGAAGTGAACGGTGACTGTAAAAACTACACTGCGCATGCTCAGAGTATTTTGTAATGAAATGTGTGTGGCAAAAAAATAATGACCAGAGGGGCATGGAGCTACCATCCCCACCATACGTCATCTCAAATCATTCAGAGCTGATTGGCTGTAAGTACGTGTGCCGCGAAAAGTGTGGTGTGTGAAGAGGAGACGAGAGAGCTGCAGTGACGCGTCCTAAAACCAGGAAGTAAGCTGCGCATGGCTTCCCTCGACAAAAAAGCAATGAGATTTCTCCAGAGGATTTTAGAAAATAGCTGGAAATAAGATCTGTGGGAAACGTACCTGTTAGATAAATGCACGTTTTGATCAGCCGGATAACATCCACATGTCTACCCTACTTTTATAATTTTTTTATCATAAATCTATGGATTAGATTTATGATAGACTTTTGAAACTACAAGAACATAAGGAGGACTTTTACAAAAAAGTTATAGACATTTTTGTCCAGAAGGATAGGCAAATGGACTTCATCTTCAAGTCAAGGTAAGACCGCAATTTGATTGAAAATGGGATCTTACTAAGAGAGAACAATTCAATATTTAAATGATAAAATTACATTTTTTGGGTATCCTTTTGTTGAACTGTCTGTTTAAAATTAATCGAAGCATCAGACAAAAAAAGCTTTTGAAAATAATATTATATTTTGGTTTAGGTCAAAATATAATATTTGTAAACCTGAAGAGTCAGTGCCAGTGCCTCACCAGCCATGAACCTCACTGCACGTCACTGCAGAAGCTTATATATAGACATCTACGTTTTTTGTGCCCCACCACTTTTGTACATATAAAAACGCCACTGGTCGCAACTCACAGCAGCATTCTGACAACAGATGGAGCCTTTGACAACTTCCCTTTAGATCTTTACTTTTTTTTAAACCACAAAATGGCAGGTGTGTTAATGTCACGTGATAGAAAAAGTATGTATGTATTGTGTTTGTCTACTAGATATTGAGAGGCACAGGTCTTCTATATAATGGGAATTCCACAGGCTATTGGTGCAGCTGGTGACTTGAGTTGGCCTGCACCCAGACATAGAAATAGCCTCCGTGCACACATACACTAGCGCCGAAAATACAAAGCGGATTACTACGGTCGCAGAAATATCCGTGGAGCATGTGCCACACTCCAGCACATTCTGACACAGCCAAATGAAAGGCATACAGCGTGCTCATTATAGCATCTGGTTTGTCCTGGTGTTTATGTGTGAACACCACGTATGAATATCCAGCTTTGGATCCGTTCCACACTCTTCAGACCCAGAGTCCTACTAGAGCTAAACACACTTTTATACAGATGACATATTGGTATATTTCATGCAATATCAAAGGCCTGTAACACATGATGCAGTTTTGGCTACTTTAAAGTGCACCTATCATGCAATTTTTAGGCAATAGCATAGGTCTCAGATATATAGAAATATATAAAAAACATGTCTATGAAGTGTTTTGCTCAAAATACCAAACAGATAACCCATTCTAGCCATGCCTCATATCCCTCTATTTCCCTTCCTGTTTCAAAAGAGCTGATTTTGGGTATAAAAAATAGAAAAGGAGGGGGCTGAGCTCATGCAGGACCCGGCAGATACTGTCTAAACGAAATACTGCCGTGATGAAACGCCATATCATGGATTATCAAGGATTATTTCTGAAACAGTAAGAAAGGCTTTCTCTCTTGCCGGTTATACCACAAGGTGAGTTCCTTTTTATATCCAGCTTCTTCACACACATGCTCTCCAGTACAGGTTAGCTCTGAGTTTTAGCGATGCTAATGTAAACACGACCATATTACGTCCAAAACAGTCGGGCATTGTTTCTGATAGCAACGTTTCTGATGGTGCCGTGGGTCCACATTTCCGATATTACGTCATATCGGACGCAAATCTGGATCAGCTCCGTTGTATCCCCGTTTTTAGAGATTTGGGTACGGAAGAAAAGAGAGGGTTTTATTTTCTGACGCTGCGTGAGTTCCCTGACACACCGGGGACACATATTTATGCATAAAAGACATCAAAAAGTGCATTTTGCATGATAGGTCCCCTTTAAATATATCTATGTTGAAGACATATAGTTATTGGCAATGCATTTCCCTGTGATAAAGGCTGAGAACTTGAACACTGTAGGTCATTCAGCTGTGGAAAATCCAGATGTTCATTCATTTGCATTTACTTGCAGGTAGAGGTTGAATGGAGACAAAACCTTAAGAGTGTTTTGAAAGCTAATTCGGATAACCTAGAGCTTGGCTAGGTAGATAATTAAGATACATGCCTTTCTGTTCAGGCTTAATGTCTTAAAATATCGCTTATTTTCCAATTTTGTCCACTTTGAAACAGCAAAGAACTGACGCAATGGAAACCTACAAATTGTTTTTATATAAGGATTTATTTCAACATTTGAAAACATTTCACTCTTTAAGCTAAAGGCAAATGAACATCTTGAGGTAATCTTTGGTAGCAAGTCAGATAAAAGAAAGTAAATTGAAAGTGCTTGATGAGGTGTTGTTGCTAGTTCGGCTAGTGTCGTGCATGTACTTATGAGTGTCAAAATTGTTCGCAAACTTCATGAAATTGGTTCTTCTGTATTTGCTGAGGTGGTAAATCAAGAGCTCAAGAACACCAAATGTCCTGCAGCCTCAGGGGGCTTTGAAGGGGTCGGTGGGCGTGTGGTTAAAACTTGCGGTAGCGAAGATGGCCAAAGTCCCCACGGTGGTGATGACGACGAAGATCCAGAGGAACATGCGGTCCACCACCATGGCCACGTACTGCCAGTCCTCCTTCAGCTGGAGGAGGGGGGATCCGTGAAAAAGAGAAAAATTAACGAGTGAATATGAGGTAGTATAATTGGTTGGATGGCGGGGAAAGACATTTAGACATGGCTCTTTTGAAATAAAAAACGTGTCTATGATGTGTTTTGGTCAAAATACCAAACAGATCATGCATTTTAGACATCCCTCATATCCCTCTGTTTCAGCCCTGTTATGGCGCTTTTCCACTGCGTGATTTAATTGGAATACACGTTTCAAAGACGGCAGGCGAAAAACCTTTTAAAATGCGTGTTTTTCTGAATGGAGATCGGATCGATCAGGCTAAGCTAACGTTGTATATGCTCCGTCCACACTCACAACAACGGCCTACAGACATAAATAAACCAGCGACTGTATTCGCCATGACACAGACAGTCTGTGGTTTGTACTTGTTTAACTTTTGTCTAGTTTCTGAACAGATATGCGGAGGTGTGAGCTCTGAGTGCTAACAGCTAACGGCTAATGTTTTGGTTTTGTGGTTCGCATTGAAGATGACGTCACGGCAGTTTTATGCAGCGTCTCTCCGCCCGCCGAACAGCCGATCGCCCCGCCTACACTGCGTTACTATAGTTACTACCCCAGTAACTACACTGTAATGGAAACGCAGCATAAAGTGAGCCTGGCCTACCAAGGCCTAACCATACCGTACTAAGCCGTGCTAGGTCCTGCAGTGGAAAAGCGCCATTAGAGCAGTTCTGATTCTGGGTCAGTAGCTGCTGGCCGAAAAGAGAGAGGGTTCGTGAGTTCCCTGACACACCGGGGACACATATTTATGTATAAAAGACATCAAAAAGTGCATGACCTTTAAAAAAAACATTGAAGAGAATTACAGCGAATTCGGACAGGGAAACTTACAGCATCATTGTCCTTCTCCGCCTGCAGGGCCTCAGCGATATAAGTGATGGCGTCCATGGCCGACTTGAGCTCTTCGGGTAGACTCAGGTAGCTACTGGGGCCGTCAATGAACTTTCTCATATCTGTAACCATCCCCTCTGGATTATACCTTAACGACAACACACAGAACAACAACCATAACCATGAAGCAACATTTTATAGGTCAACATCTAACAGAACAAAGGCAAACAGGGGCTTGCAGAATGTAGCAATGTGCGAGCAGATGTCAGACCAGACTAATTAAAAGCTGTAAAATAGTCAAGCGTTTACGAGGCGGGCTGCACGTCTCCTTTTCACTCGGCTGTTATTCAGAGAGGTATAAAGAGAAGGTCAGAGGAGCTCCCTGGGCTTGCTGGGAGTCACCGCTCTGCATCTGCTGACTGTGCCACTCTGGCGTGGAAACCCTCTGTGTGTGTTTGTGTGTGTGTGTATGTTTCTGTGTTTACTCGTTGCCCTCAGTTACCAACCGTCATCTCCGATAGCGTGCTAGCGGTTGCCTTCGTAACTCTGCTTGTCACTCACAACTTTTCACATGACATCTCTAACAGTTGGTCCAAGTTGTTTTTATTCACAATTACTGGTCATACTATAGAAGAAGTAAAGCCCTTAAATGTGTTGAACTTTGCTATGGTCTTTGATTGCTTTTTAATTCAACTTTACATTTTTTTAAAGACTGATTTTCTACCATTAAACACAGCTGTCCCAGAAACTCAACGTGTTACTCATTAACCTTTTCTGCTCTGATTTTTCCCTGATGGATATTAAAGCATAATTGTACAGCGTAATTTCACCCAAAATGTAGTCATCCATCCAAGTTCACTATTGGTCAAATTCAAACAGGAAGTTGGTCTTTGAGTTTGTCTGTCATTTGTGTACATTGAAAGATTTGGGTATTAATTAAAGGTGAACTATACTATTTTCCAATTGTTGATGTAATGCATTGGACATAAGGTTAAAGTTATGAAAATAAGAAAGGAATTGAATTCAATGACATTTCTGGGCGCATTACATACAAAAAGAGTACAAAACGTATATGCACACAGAAAAAACAGTTGAGACATTGGTTTCTAAGTATGCATTTGTTATTTTTTTAATAACAAACAAAAAAATTACTTTTACGATTGAGCAGTATTCCCCTTTATCAAAGTCACTAAAACTATTCAACTCTTACGGACCGTCTCCACAGCAGCGTTAAAAAAATCTTGGAGGTGGGCGTATCTGAGGCTTGGGGATTTTTTTGCGATCAACCAATCACATGAATCTCCCGCCCGCGACATACGAAGCCAAAAAGCCCGAAGTAAACTGGATATAAACTCCCCAAAACAGGCGAAAACCTACCACTGTCTCTGCCACCTCCCTCCATGCCTGGCTCCTCCGGTTTATATCCCGGTAGGTCTGGTCATAAAGCACCGGGTGATTGATTCGCTACCGCTAATTTCTCCTCCATTTTTTGGAATATGAGGAAATGACCTGCGGTATGTCTCTCCCAGCATACACGCCGTTTGATTGGCTAGAGCTTGAACTGCCAGATTTGCGTACACGGGATTTGATTGGCTGACGCTTCCACCTCAGCTTCAAAAGTTGAACATTGTTCAACTTTGAATCTTGAAAATCCTGAGAATCTCCGCTCGCCTGCCCACAATGCATTTCGGCGAAAAGTGAGGGAAAGTGACGTCACCCCATTCAAAGTGAATGGGCAGAAGCGTTTCAAGATTTTTTTAACGCTGCTGTGGAGACGGCCCGTTAGTGTTTGCCTTGACCTTGTCCGGCACTAACAAATTATCCCCCTTGAACAGCTGCCATATCCAAACATCTGTTTTCTTATGAAACACCTCAAATATTAAACACCCTTAATTTGTTTTGATCCTATCATTTGTTTTATTCCAGACATGAGTTGCAGGTCAGACAGCCCACCACCAGAGGGCAGTATGGCACTATGTCTTTTAAGGAAACATTCAAATGGAGTATAACCTCACAGTCAGGTGAGAGTATGGAGCAGTTTGGTATTCAGTGCTGCAATGTTTGGGGTTTACGATGCAGCGCTGCTCCTGTGAGTGTGGCAGGTGAAGAGGCTGCGACCTAGGAGGGGTACAGCCTCATCACATGGAGAGGGAGGGATAAAGGAAGGAGGAAGAGAGAGCCAGGGAGACACAATTTGGCCTCCTAACCTCTCCTCCCTTTTCCCTCCCTCGTGTCTCAAAGTAGCCCTTCATCAGCGAGAAGTAAATTACTATTCAGGAGACTAATTCAACTAAAACTGACTGGTGCCAAGACACGCACTAAACCCAATTAAGAAGGCATGTGTGTGTAATACGGGCTCAAGAGAGATGCTGCTGTCTCTTCAAATTGCTCTAATAGAGCCCCCCCCTCCTCCCCTTCACTTCCGTCACCCGTTCTTTCACCTAGCTCTAATGTGTCAATTTGTGCGGGCCATTATTATTTTAGCAACGATTCACCCGCCTCAAGACTTTCCCGCTAGACATATTTCAGATCTCACAGGAGGGGAGATATAGAGAGGAAGCGACAGACTGTGAGGGAGGTTTTTGGTTTTAATAGAGCGGCAGGGAAGCTGAATGGATGAGGATGTCTCATAGTAGCTAATTCCTTGGACGTGCAGTTCCTTGTTCTACCAAGTTCATCTGAGCAAGGTCATCTGATACCTGTGCACCAACTTCAAGACTGATAGAAGGGTTTGTCAGCTACTGTAGCAGTGCGCTCAGCTCAAAAGCTAAAGGCAAAGCAGTCATCAGTATGGGTTTCAGTAGAGGTCTTTGGATTCTAACGTCTAAATACAATTTGTTAAATGTAATTCTGTCCATATTCTATTTTAAATATGGAGCACATCCGTCCTGCTGAAAACATCTCAAAGTCTAGACTCTAGAAAAAAGATCAGAAAGTAAAGAGCTTAACAGTAAATGTAGTTTAAATGGCAAGTATCTTACAAAGAGTGATAACCCATGTAATAGAGCAGGGGTGTCCAAACTACGGCCCGGGGGCCAATTGCGGCCCGTTGTCCATTTTATGGCCCTCAGCAAATTTAAAATTATAATGGAGAATGGCCCACACATGAAACTTGTTATTTTACTTCTTCAATGTATATGTAAAAATATATTTCACAGCAGTATTTTAACTATTTTAACTATACTTTGCAAATAAATTCAGTCAATTCAAGTTGAAATGTATTTCTAACAACCTTAATTGATAAAAAAAAAAGCCCAATAACTTATTTGCATAACAAGCTTCCGATATACCCTTCCTATTTCCCCTTATTATAAGCAATCTGAGGCTTCTGTTGTAAAGAATGAACTAACAACAGTTTTTGTAACAAAATAAAGTAAACCCGATAAAGAGCTGTGATGTAGGCTGTTTGTTTCTTTAAGTTTATTCAAGTATCAAGCAAAATTGATCGATTTTTCTAACTTATAACTTAACTTCTGAGGCAATATACCTCACCTTTAGTGAGGGTCTCAGCCCTTCGTATTTTCTTTCTGTATACGGCCCTCAGTGAAAAAAGTTTGGACGGCCCTGTTATAGACAGTCAGATATGGATTATGTATTACATCGGTATACACATTTGAATTCAAAGCGTTAACGTGCAATTGTCTTGAAATATACTTACCTCTTTGTAAAATAGAAGTAAAGAAAATAACAGTTCAGTATGAAGCTTGTGTAAATTTAAAATCTCATCATACCGACTTGCGTGCATAACGCCCGTCTGAAAATGTAAATGCAATATATTCATACCTACGTGTCCCTGTACTACCATCCTAACCCCAGAGCAGTTGTTGTCTCACCTGTGTGGTTTTGGGAACAAGATGGAGGAGTCGGGCTTGCGAATGAAGTATTCATCAGCCACCTTGCTGATGGTGACAATCCTTTTTTTGGGTTGGGTCTTCAGGGACAGGGGGGTCTCTACTTTGGGTCGAAGCATGCACAGGACAGGAGGCAGAATGTGGATGAAGATCTAGGAGGAAAGGAAAGGTGAAAAGTGTAAGGCTGACTCGATAATTCCAAATAAAATCAGTTTCTTAGCGTTGTTACTTTAAAAATGGATATCACAAGAAACCCACTCATGTGTATTACTCTGACTCCAAACCACATGGGAAACATACATTTATTTAAGTATACTTTTCACTTTCAGTCAATAGCTTGTAGTGTAATAAAAATCTATTTGTTTGGATTCCTGTTCCGCGATTTATGGGACAGCTGAAGTGTACTTGCCTATTAAGGCTGAGAAATTAGTCCAAATGTTGACTTTAGCGGTGAGATAACCTTTGAGAACAGTTGCTGCTGAATGACGTGGGCGGGGAAACCAAATGGGTAATGCTTTCCAATTCCTCACAGTCTACTATCAAGGTGTCCTCGAACTAAGAACATCAACTCTGGATACTCCAGTGGAGTTTTTAAATAAAGCTATACTGGGCTAATCTTACATGTGCTTAATTAAAATAGAGATACATGCTGATAAAACCCAGTTACTACTTGGCTGTCAAGGACATTTGACCTGGACATAAATAGCTAACCATTGGGGCAAATGTCTCAAACAATTTCATAAATGCTGTTTGTTTGTGTTGGCTAGCCTGCATTGACCAATAGATGTCAATCACCACCGCCCCAAGGACCATACTGTACTGTAAATACAATGGAGAATGTAATGTGAGGTGAACAGGATGACTGGTGTTGTACAGTAGTTTCAAGGAAATGGAAGGTGACCACTCAGAATCCCATATGTCCATATTCTTCATTCCCGTCCTTACATTTCCCGGTATACTGCAACACATGTCATATTTCCCATTGACTGTCCTCTATGGGAAATATAATATAGCAGAGCAGTGAGTCACACATTGTGACATGACCACAAGAACACAGCCAACGTGCTACTCAACCTGACTCGCTCGGAAACATACTTGTTATGTGGTCCCTATTATCCCTATCCATTTATTTTGCATATTGTCTTTTGTAGCAAGGTTTCCATTGATCTGAGCTGTACTAGAAGGTGGAGTTAAAACACTTCTGCAGGACCTACATTAACCCACAATTTTTAAATTGCTACCGTCAATGGAGATTCTATAGAGTGGTGCAGGGATGACGTATTTACCCGGAAGTAAGCTGCGCATGGGTTCCCTCGACAAAAAAGCAATGGGATTTCTCTATAGGATTTGGGAAAATAGCGCGAAATAAGGTCTGTGGAAAACGAACCTGTTTGATAAATGCACGTTTTGTTCAGCCGGATAATTTCCACAATTGTCTACTCTACTTTTATAATCATAAATCTAATCGCCAGAAGCAAAATGCTAACGTTATGCTATAAACTAAGCCCAGGCCAGGCGAAGCGCCTGGTGTGGACCTGTCAGCGCAACTTACATGATGCAGAATTTAACAAACACATTTAAATAATTGGTTTAAACGGCATAATAATGAGGACGGTCGTCCGTTCTGTGATTCTCCAGAACACACATGTTATGATATTAGGGTCATGTAGAGTGAGATGAGATCGCTGTCCCTTTAAGAGAGAGAGAGAGGGGTGTGGCGTGTGCGTATGGTAGAGCGAGAGTGTGTATGTTTCTGGAAGTGAAGTGAGGCAGCAGAAAAACAGAGGTCTGTGATGTATTTTTTGAAACAGAAGAACAACTAAATAAATGTAACGGCCTCCCAAGAAGAGCTCGCCTCTGTTATGATCGCGGAAAAGGTAGGACCCAAAAGCAGACTACAAAAAGAGGTAAAAAGGTCTAGAAAACAAAAGCGAGCTTTATTTTAAAAGCTGATGGCAAATAACATGGCATAAGACACAATGGTAGCACAAGGAAGATACATTACCAAAAACCTGACCGTGACTGACATGGAGGGAGACAGGAAAGACAAACAATGAACCGACAGGGGAACACAGGGAAAGACAAGACTAAATACAGAGAGGGGTAATCACGGGACGAGAAACAGCTGGGTAAGGGAGGCAGAAACACAAGGGCAACAGGTGAACACAATGAGACAGACACAGGAGGAAAACAAGAGACAGGAAGAACAGAACAGCAAAACAAAACCCATTGCCAGACAGACAACACTAAAACCGTGACATAACACCAAGATCGTGACAGCCTCTCTCCAGTCATTTAAGCTAAAGTGGGTTATTGAACCTGAAACTTGTTGCTTCTGCCCTGGGAGACGACAGAGAGTCATCCCCAGGGCCGTCCCTCCCTACAGGCTGATCATGCAGACTGCGTGGGGCCTCACCTTGCGGAGGGGGCCTCCCCTCGCGGTGGGTGCCTCATCTTGCGGGAGGAGCCGCAACTGAGCCCCATCTGAGCCGCAAATGCGGCGGAGCAATTAGTATGGTATCGCAAGGCTCCATTAGCACGCTAACCCACCCCCCCCCCCCCCGTCGAAGTTCGCGAAACAGAGGGCCTCATCATATAACTTTGCGTGGGGCCGCCAGTTGGCCAGGGACGGCCCTGGTCATCCCCCCTGTTTCCTCGACTACGGTCTGGGAGCCGACGGGAAAGTTCAACACACAGATGGCCAGTCCGCCCCTTTGTAGCATATTATTTAGATGAGAGATGAGCAGATCGCCACTGGGCTTTCAACTAAAGACACAGCCACGCAAAAACTGCGGCATTTGTACAGCTCCTTATGGGTACTGCAATTTGTGAAGTGCTTTCCTCTGTGGTGAAACGATCAGCACTGCACCACGGAGGAAAGCGACAGAAAGTCGCCTGGAGTTAAAGAGAGCGGGGCTGCATTGGCTTCCTTCTGCAGGTAACGTTCTCGGTCTCGTTCAGGATCCGAAAATACAATTTAAATATTTTGCAGCTCTCTGAATTATGAGATGACGTTTGGTAGGTATGCCAGCACAGTGCCCCTATGGTGATTATTTTTTTGCCGCACACATTGAAAAGAAAAATACTCTGAGCATGCGTAGTGTAGTTTTTACAGCACCCATTCACTTAGACAGTGAGAGGTAGGGGCTAGATCGGGGCTTGACCCACGTCGCTCAAAACGGCTCAATAGGCACACTGTAGACACTAATCAGAAGAACACAGACTAAAACAGCAATGTACAGACGAATCAGATGATTAAACATGAACTTAAAATATATTTTGAGATGTATTGTTTTTGCATTTATTTGCATTTTTTTGGAATGCTTAATTGAATTACTTTTTGCTGACACTAGGTGGGGCTGTGCCCAACCTGCCCCTATTTTCCAAAATCCTATGGAGAAATCCCATTGACTCTGAGACGAGGGAACCGGTAGTGGTAAAATGCTAACTCACTTCCGGGTTTTAGGACTCGTCACATGTTTCCTGACACTGAAATTAGCAGATTTTTGACATTGGAATTTAAATGTATCTAAACATTAAGACTTCTTCTGACCTAATGTATCTAATGTGAAGATTGATTTTGAAAAGTAGCAGGGCTAAATGCCGAGCTTGTAAGTGGTGCCATCAAAGCTTAATACTGTAATAAAAGAAAGTCAATTTTTCAGGTATCATTTTTGTAATAATCTGTGGATAGATGTAATATTGTCAGTGATGCTTAAATGTACCTAACAAGACATAATTTAATTTGTTTTCAATAAAGTAACTCCATACAGTGCTGAGTTGACAACAGAATACATTCAACTTTGCATGATATGTCTGGCTTTTGGGATTTTGCACTGTACAAAAACGACTGAATCACACATATCCCTATTTGACGACATTGATCGTCAAAAAGGTAGCAGGAAAAGAAAGGAAAGGAAGCAGAACCCATAATGTACTTTCCTCCTGTCAAGCCAAGCAGGAAACTTCCATACAAATCACCTGTGTATAAGCCTTTCTGACGTGAGTGTTCCCTATAAACACGACAGAACTCCACAGAGCACTGCTGCTCAGGCCTGTACAGTAATTAGCACGGTTAATGGAGGTTAATGGTAAAACATGACATTTGGCGAGGACTGTGTCAACCTAAAACAATAATCTGCCTGGACCTAAACTACTAAAATCTCTAAATGAGTATAAAAATGTCCATTACATTCATTAATAAAGGCCACCATTTACTACATTGACTGAGGTTTTGCTTCAATGACTTCATTAATTAAAAAAATGGTGGTGATTTTTATTATTTGCACATGGTGACCTCAATGTTTGAAATGTGTATGCATCTGCTTGCTCTTATTTACTGCAATTGATTGGATTAATAGAAAATTCACTTTTTTTTGCAACGTCTTTTTGTATTGTATTGTAGGAGCTCATAAATGTGTATATTTAGCATATACGTAATCGCCTATGGGGGTAACCAAGTGTCGGACCTTACCATACGGATCCACATGGGCATGCAGTGGGTGTTGGCCGAGCGGTGGTGCAGATTGAGGACAACCACACTGAGGATGACTGAACATGTGACCAGGATCATAGTGAACATGATGTAGTTGACGATGATGGGGACACCCAGTGAAGTCTCAGGGATCTTATCAGCCAGCAGCAGCAGGAACACAGTGAGGGTGAGCAACACGTTGATGGACAGACCCATCTTCTCTCCTGGTCGGGGAAACAAAACAAAGAAGATAGCAGTTTAGCACTAACTGCTCTGATTCTGTCATTCACCAGTAATTACTCTAATGGAAAATTCATCTACTGATTTAAGTGAAGCTGATTGGCCAATAGATCAAGGTGTACTTAGTGGTTACCCACAAACTGTGTACCACAGCTTGTCTATAGTTGGCACTGGCAGGTAAATAGAAATGGATGTGCATTAGGGCCGTGCACGCTCCGACAGTGGGTAAATGTCAAAGCAGTGGCATTTCCCTCAATCACTTCGTTGACGTAAATCACCGCAAAGTTCAAAATGTCAAAGGTTTCGTCAGGTGATTTTTATGAAGAGAAGAGGAAAAATAGGTTTTCTTTTTCACTTTTACAAAATATATACTGTATTACCTCTAAACATTTGTATTTTTTGTGAATTTTTGGAATGTCATCTCCCATGTAATACAAGACCAATTCCCTATAGTTATATGGTATGGCAATTATACAGTATATGCCTCAAACAGCTTAAATGAGTAATTTAACATGGTTTTGCACTGTGTGAGTGAAAAGTAAAAAAGTTTCTTATTGGACCCACGCGCCAGGGTTAGGATGAAGTGGTTGAAGTGAGTAAGTAAATAATATTAATAATGAACCTTTTTTGGAATGTGTTTTGTTAACAGTCTGTAAGTATCATTTCTTACCCAATGAATGTTGTGAAACAAGTCGATAAGAAAAATCTTGTTGAACCATGTAAGTGTTGTGGACGAAGTACATTCTGGGGCTGATTTCTACTGTTTCATTTGAGTGGATATTGATTTTGCGGTGCTCTATGGGAAACTGATATCTAATCTGAAATGGAATACCCTTGTGACAGTAATTGGAGAAGTGTGTGATTGCCCAATTTACCCAGACCAGAGAAACACAATTACAAAATGGCATCAGGAGCTTTATAAGAGTGGATCACATCAGTCCGGTTCTGAAATCTTTACATTGGCTTCCAGTCGGCCAAAGAATTGATTTTAAAGTACTATTGCTAGTTTTTAAATCATTACATGGTTTAGGACCAAAGTATATTGTTGATCTCCTACATAATTACGAACCATCAAGGTGCCTCAGGTCTTCTGGGACGGGTCTGCTATCGGTTCAGAGAGTAAAAACAAAACATGGAGAGGCAGCGTTTAGCTATTATGCCCCGACACTCTGGAACAAACTACCCAAATCATGCACGTCTGCAGAAACTCTTACTATTTTTAAATCGAGACTGAAAACATATCTCTTTGCCGCTGCTTTTAATTGAGCTGCTCATATTCGCACTACAGTATGCCATTTAAACATGTATTGTATACCTGTTGTGTTTATTTTATTATCTTTGCTTTTTAATGCCTGTTGTAAAATGCCATTCTACAATGTGTTTTTTTACTGTATTTATTCCTAAAAAGTATTTTAATTTGTTTTGTAAAGCATTTGAATTGTCGCGTGCTGAAAAGTGCTATATAAATAAACTTGCCTTGCCTATAGACGATAATCAGGCAATTTAACCCTAACTCAAGCTTGATCAAAGTGGAAAATGTGTGTACTACCAGTCAGATTATATCATAGTTAAACTGGTTTGAATGTTTCATTATGTATGGTTGCTATACCTGCGTCAGGAGGCAGGTAGAAGTTGAAGATGGCGATGATGGTGATGAGGATGCAGGGGAGGATGATGTTCAAAACGTAGTACAGAGGCTTCCTCTCCAGGATGAGGTAGAAGGTCATGTCCTCATAGTCATCGTCGTTCATGTTCCTCCTGCACGGCCTGTGTATGATTTGCCACTCGCCACCCTCTGGAAAAACATTTGGAGAATTTAGATTAGCAAAGGGACATACATCTGCATACCAAGGGTCCAAACTGTCACGATCTGTCTTTGTTTCCTGTTTTATTTTGAAGAGTGTTCACCCACTGTCTGTTTTTACTTCCTGTCTTTGTGTCTTCCCTCCCGTTTGATCACCTTATTGTGTTCACCTGATGCCTTTGGCTGCGTCTCAGGTCGGTTATTTTCATTTCCTCGCTCCTTGGTATCACCGGAAGTTGATTTGTCTGCGCCATCTTGAGTAGCGTCCCATGGCGCTTATTTCTGATCGAGGATCGAGGAGCGATAATGGAGGAGCGATAACCAAGGAACCACCAGACCATCCTCCGGTGAAATCCTCAGCCACTCGCTCCGCCCCCTTACTGTGTATCGCTCACTGATTGGACAATGCAGCGCATGCACTGATCTGATGCTTCTTGACATGAGAGCAGTTTCCCAGCGGAGTGAAGAAAACACATGAAACTCACAGGAGTCACTCCTCAGTTTATACAGAGTTTTGTTTCAATTAATGTATCATTTAGTTACAAATATGTGATATATCTGAACAACAAAGTGTTCAAAAATAATTGTATTCATTTATTGGAAACATTTTCATGATCGCTTTTTTTGTTTATACATTTTAAGAATGGCGTTTATCTTTTTTGAGAATGAGTTCTTATTTTATTTTATTTATTTGGGTCTACAACAGATGATACAAATGTATATGTCAGTAAATGTGTACTAACAGAGGCGGGGGTGTGTGTGAAAACAACGGGGACAGAGCTGCTGTCAGACATCAGCTGTGCGGTGTCATCACAAACGGACGTCGCTTCACGTGACGCTCCGGAGGAAAGGACGTCCCATTGCTCTTAAAACTCATTTCCCTGCTTCTCGTGGTTTCCTTGCGTCTCTCCATGCTTCCCTGGTGGGAGGGACTAAACGCAGGGAAACGACGCAAGTGAGGGATGCAAGGGTTCTATTTCGTCCCTACTGACCGCCAGAGGCGGTGCTTTTAGCACTGGATATGTCCATCGTGCGCATGCGCAGCTCGAGTACCAATAACAACAAAGTCACCTGTGACCCACGTGACACCGGCTATAACAGCCGGTGTCGTCAGAGGATCTGTTCCTTTCATCTTCTCGCTGCGCGAGAGTACCGTGGCTGCATTCTTGCAGCCTACAGCGTTCAGGTTTGAACGTTTGATCTGAGGGATTTCTCTGCATACAGCTGGCCGCGGGGAGCTTCGCGACTGATAGTCGGAGCTACGGGTTGTTAACGCGTCCTCCTGGAGCTGTGGCCGGCTGTGCGCCGTGCAGAACCTCGACGGACAGGTTCGTGTCAACTTGTGGTGATGGCTGTGTTTCACCCTCTCCCAGCTAAGTTGTCCTGATTGCTGTCTTGTTATTGTCGGGCTACTTTCTGGTGACGACAGTGTTCTCGCCTCCTCTCCCATAAAGTTGCCCTTATGATGCTCTTTTGAAAGTTCTGCTTGTGGCGTTGTGCCCGAGCTATCTTTAGCATTTGAGTTCCCAGCTTTCGCTGCGTCTCATTTAATTTGTATGGAAAGCCCACAGTGCCATATTTTGCCTGTTTTTTGTTAGGTGCAGAGAGTAAGGTAAGTTCTGGCCAGAGTTACTACTGTAACTACGGTCCTAGGCCATGCAACTACGGCATGGTTACTGCTGTAACCATGGCCTATGGTTCTTGTGGGCTGTTCTATTCCTTAGAAGCTAATTATCTGGTCTTAACATTGGGTTTTGACCTGGTCTTGCTGGATTGTTAGCAGCAGCGGCTTGGCTAACACCTTGCATGTACTGTTAAGCTTCATTCTCAGCGACTACAGTAGCGCTATATTGTTGTATTTACCGCTCCTAGTACTAGGATGGGTAGATGCGGAGAACAATCTTCACTGTGTGTGCTGTGTGCTCCGCATGTGTGGCCATTCACCGGCCACGGTTACTTTTGCCATAGTTACTACTGTAGCTACGGTTCTAAGCCGTTTAAGTATTGGCCATAGTTAATACTGTAACTACGGGTCTACGCCGTGTAAATACTGGCCATAGTTACTACTGTAACTACGGTTCTAAGCCGCGTAAGTACTGGCCATAGTTACTACTGTAACTACGGTTCTAAGCCGCGTAAGTACTGGCCATGGTTACTACTGTAACTACGGTTCTACGCCGCGTAAATACTGGCCATAGTTACTACTGTAACTACGGTTCTAAGCCGTGTAAGTACTGGCCATAGTTACTACTGTAACTACGGTTCTAAGCCGTGTAAGTACTGTCCATAGTTACTACTGTAACTACAGTTCTAGGCCGTGTAGGCTGGCCATGGTTACTACTGTAACTACAGCTCTGTGCTGTTCTCTTCTTTGGAAGCTAGTTATCTGGTCTTAAACATTGTGTTTTTTGACTTGATTTTGCTTGGTTGTTAGCAGCAGCCGCTTGACTAACACCTTGCATGGACCGTTTAGCTTCATTATTTAACTCAGCTGGTGAGCTGCTCTCGCTCCCGCTCCCGGTAACGTTGCCCTGTAACGTATCACTCTGACTATTAGCAGCGGCCACTTGGCTAACATCTGGCGTGTTCTGCGTGCTGCTTGATTCTTAGCAGCAGCTGCGGCTAAGCTGTCCTGTTGAACTTCTTTATTTAACCCAGCTAGGTGAAGGCAGTGCTCTCGCTCCCCGCTCCCTCTGCTGGTAGCTCCGTGCTTCGTTTACTCAGCTAGGTGAAGGCAGTGCTCTCGCTCCCCGCTCCCTCTGCTAGTAGCCTTGCACTTTCATTTACTCAGCTAGGTGAAGGCAGTGCTCTCGCTCCCCGCTCCCTCTGCTAGTAGCCTTGCACTTTCATTTACTCAGCTAGGTGAAGGCAGTGCTCTCGCTCCCCGCTCCCTCTGCTAGTAACGTGGGTTTAGGACATTACACCCCTCTCGTGTTCGGCGAGTAGGAGCATTGCTCTACTCTTTCCGTTCAGCAGGTAACTGGTGAAGGCTGTGTTCTCGCACCCCGCTCCCGGTTACGCTGCATCTGGCATTCGTCTCAAACTTAACCAGTGAAGGCAGTGCTCTCGCTCCCGCTCCCTCTGCTGGTAACGTGGGTGTAGTTACATCCCTCTCTGTGTACGGCGAGTAGGAGCATTGCTCTACTCTTTCTGTTCAGCAGGTAGCTGGCGAAGGCTGTGTTCCCGCACCCGCTCCCGGTTACGCTGCATCTGGCATTCGTCTCGAACTTAACCAGTGAAGGCAGTGTTATCGCCCCCCTCCTGGTAGACGCTAAACTGCCTTGTTCGTTAATCCAGCTAGGTGAAGGCAGTGCTCTCGCTCCCCCTCCCTCTACTGGTAACGTGGGTGTAGTTGCATCCATCTTTGTATTCGGCGAGTAGGAGCATTGCTCTACTCTTTCTGTTCAGCAGGTAGCTGGTGAAGGCGGTGTTCCCGCACCCGTTCCCGGTTACGCTGCATCTGGCATTCGTCTCGAACTTAAACCAGTGAAGGCAGTGTTCTCGCCCCCGCTCCTGGTAGACGCTAGACTGCCTTGTTTATTAATCCAGCTAGGTGAAGGCAGTGCTCTCGCTCCCATCATGGAGCAGACAAAGCCGCTCCTGTTGGCCCTTCAGCCAGGGGCCGGTGTGGGGGCTGCAAGCTTGCCGCCTGGCCCGCCTTCGGTTGCCACACCTCTGCTTGAGGATGCCATGTCGCTAGCGGCTCCGGCTGAACCTCTTCTTGGAAGGGGGGGGCAGGGCCCGCTCACCCCCGAAGAGGCTCCCCACTCCTCTGCTCAGAGCTCTTTGCAGGGCACGGAGGACGGCTCCATGGCGGCCATTATTCGTGCGGCCCTGGTACGCTTGCAGCTTCAGGTTCCGCAGGCCGACCCAGGCTAGCGCCTTCTTCAGGCATAACCCTGCCCCTTTCATTCCCACTGTTCCTCCTTTAGAGGAGTACCTGAGGGAGCTCCATGCATGCTAGAGACACACCAGGGCCCTCTCCCACTCTGCTGCCATGCAGGATCCGGCGAGGGTGGGGCTGGGTCGCTTGCCATCCATTGAGCCTGCCATCGCCTCCCCGATTCTGGCCCTGTAGGCACTGGAGCGTGCTGCCCAAGCTAGGCAGACCAGGCAGCAGCTCTCGGGTCTTTATAGGCCCACTCCCAGCAGGCCCAGGGGCCCCTCTAGCAGCCGCACTCAGCCACCAGATTACAGTGGTGGTCTGCGCAGGTCCCAGCGGCCCACTCATCCGTTGTGCCCCCGGCTGCCGGCCTTCTAGGCGGCCTCGTGCCTCAGAGCCTTACCGGCCTCCCCCCAGCAGCAGCTCAGCTACTGGGCTGTCTGTACTTCCGGCCCTTGGGTGGTTTTCACCTTAACCCAGGGGTACGAACCGCAGTTCCGGCCCCTAGCCTTCGGCCGGGCCAAAATGACAGTCGTCAGCGATCCGGCAGATGCCCTAGCTCTAGCCCAAGAGTTGTCCGTCCTTCTGCCCAAGGAGGCAATCGAGCCAGTAGACCCTCTGCTTAGCCCAGGGGGTTCTACTCTGCGTACTTTCTCTTGGCCAAGAAAGTCGGCGGATTTCACCTGCTCTTGGACCTCAGAGGAATCGACAGATTCCTGGAGGTGCAGCCATTCCATATGCTGACCACAGCACATGCACAGGGGGAGTGGTTCGCAACCGTGGACTTTAGGGATGCCTACTTCCTCGTGGGCCGGGCAAGAGGGTGCCTTATATTCAGTTCCTCCGGCCCTTGGGCAGACTGACGGCTGCCTTGGCATTCCTGCCCAGGGTGCTTCCACAAACCCACTTCAATCAGCCTGCCCAGCCGGCACGCTTTGACATTCGGGAGAACGGCACGTCGAAGTTGCTGTGCCCTGTGGGTGCCCAAAGGGCGAATATCGAGGCTACTGCCTGTATACGGCAGTCGGAGCAACTCTTGTTTTTGCCATAGCGGCACTAAAGGAGGTGTGCCCTCTACCAGTGGCTGCCCCACTGGGTTGTCGATACCATCTCACATGCCTACGGGGCCAGTGGCCGCCCCCTGCCATCTGGGCTGAGATACCACTCTGCAAGGAGCATCTCAACATCTTGGGCTGCCCTGAGAGGGGCGCCCCTGTTATCGGGTTAATGTCGCCACTCCCCATTCTTGGGCGTGGTCCTTTTGCCGAGCTCCGCTGCTTCCAGTAGTGAGCCAGGGCTTGGATTCTTCATGACATGGTTGGTATAAGTCATCCAGTGCTAAAAGCACCGCCTCTGGCGGTCAGTAGGGACGAAATAGAACGATAGTTACGGCTGTAACTACGGTTCTATCATACGGTTCTCACGTGACACCGGCTGTTATAGCCGGTGTCACGTGAGTAGTTATTGGTACTCGAGCTGCGCATGCGCACGATGGACATATCCAGTGCTAAAAGCACCGCCTCTGGCGGTCATCCGGGACTCATAGAACCGTAGTTACAGCCGTAACTATCGCTCCATTTAACCGACCTGAGACGCAGCCATAGTGTTTTGCCTTCCCTTCCCAGCTGGGTCTTGTCCTTGTGATTAATATTTAAGTACTGGTGGTCTGTTAGTTGTTGTCAGATCCTGTCAGATGTCATTTGTGGAAGTGCTCTTTTGATTGTCCCATGGAGAGTTTTGTTCCGTCTTTTGTATGTTAAAAGTAAATACGTATTAATCCACATGAATCCCAATACATATGAGTGTATGAGAATATTTAAAAATAAATACAATTGTCTTTATTATAAACTTGTTGCTTTAACATCTATCACTGTGTATATCACCATTCAAACATGTTTAAATAAGTTTAGGAACACAGTCTGTAAACACTATGAAATGTTGACTTTATTTGATCATTTTACAGTGAAAAAGTAATGTTCATATTTCTCCTTTTGATTATTATAGTGTTGAACGTTCAAAACAAAGCACTTGGGCAAGTTACCAGTGGCGAGCCGTCAGGGCCCTCTAGGCCCTCTGTGAGGGCCTAAGATATTCTAAAAAATAATATTTAAAAACATTTAAAAAATATATTTTTTTTTTAAATATATATTTTTTTAATATTATTTTTGTTATATTTTTCATTAGTTTTACCGAAAAAATAAATTTGTATTTCAAATAACATTTCCAAAGAAATAAATCCTTCGAATCTGCCTGTTCAGTCTCTGTTGAATGTGAAGGGTTACATGAAAGAAGCTCGTCTGGCCCTCTCTGCGATTCACAGAGGGCCCGCTATAGTAACTGAACGAGAGAGTAATGTCAAATGACAGTACAATTGACCAATCATATCTTCCCTCTAAATGGGTGGGTTTTATTATCGCGGACTTTATGACAAGTTCCGCCCGCTGTGAAACTTTTCTTGTTTCAATAGCAACAACAACTTCCTGTCAACAGTGTGAACTCGCCTTCAAAATAAAAGCATGCCAAATTACACTTAAGACATACAACTGCAAGTAACAAACACAATGCAATATCATTTTCAATGTCAAAGAACACAAATTGGGTTCACAGGTGTTGTTTTTTGTGGTAGAGGGTCGCTGTCATTGATGCGTTTTGCACCCTGGGCCGTTGTTTTGATATTCCGCTGAAGTATACGCTGTGACGTAATAACTCTTTTTTTTTTTTTTTTTTTCGAGGGAATTGGTGGGGGTCAGAGGGCCTAGGTATAAAGCTCACGGCTCGCCACTGCAAGTTACAGTATAACTTGTAAAATGTTTAATAAGCACCATAACTTACATGATACTAGTTTCTCGGTCACGATAGGTTGTTTCCGTGAGCGGCTGAATGTCACGGTAAATGTTGAGGCCACAAGGCATTGCGGCCCAGCATTTTCTCCTTTCTTTTCGTAAAGGAAGGTCCAGTGTTTCCTAAGCTAAAGGAGGTTATAAAGGAAGTGTCAAACCTCCTTTCCTATCATCTAGAGCAGGGGTGCCCAACCAGTCGATCGCGATCGACCAGGGGAGATTCCCAGTCATTCGCGAGATGTGTCTAAAAATAGAACAACAATATTCTGTTTTATCGTTAATGTCCTATAACATAATCTTCCTGTGCCAGAATAATGCACTTGAAGGCATCAAAGCTTTGTGATTGGCGTGACCCCATGTGTCGGGGCGTGGCTGGTGGGTAGTGGGCACTAGTTAGCTGACGTTGTCCGTGTCAACAGGAGTGACAGTCCGCACACACACAAGACCACAATTATGGCAGAAGCAAAAAAGCCCAAAATATATCATTTTCACTCCGAGTGGGAGGATGATTATTTTTTTGTTTATTCCAATTCAAAGTCCATCTGTCTCATCTGCAATGCGAGCGTGGCTTTACCGAAGAAGGGTCATTTAGGAGCGGCATTTCAAAACGGTGCACGCACGCTACGAGACGGAATCCCCTCCTAATTCTGCCCTACGCTCTTCTGTTCGTTGCGTGCATATGTAACCGAATTAAACATGTGAATACATAATTATAAGTTTGTGAATGTTTAATTCATAATAAGTTGTGAATTTTAAGAGATGAGATTGTTTCATTTAATATTTTAAGTTTTGTTTCCCGTTGCACGTCTTTTTTTACTTCCGGTATTTATTTTCCACCCTCCGCGGACTGGCCATCTGTAGAATCTGGAGAATCACAGAACAGCCGGTCGTCAATGGCCGGCTCGATTCGCTGATGGCCGTCTCCGTCCTTAATCTTTTATGTTTTTAAAAGGCATCATTGAAGTTGCACCGACAGAGGTCCGCCATTTCCCCGCAGCGAGGCTCCCCCCAGTTGACAGTTCACTAGCACCCCAGCCCCCCCCCCCCCCCCCCCCCTCTATTTGGACTGGTAGATCTCGGCAGACTGGCAACTTTAAAAGTAGCTCTTGGTTCAAAAAAGGTTGGGCACCCCTGATCTAGAGAATTCGAACGGCTCTTATCATGGCTGCCACTGAGGCACTTCCGGGTCATTTAACTCCTTTAGGAACCTTCCTAAGCTTAACTGACAACTTGAACGTAACCTAAGTGTCTAATGAGAGAAAATGTAAAAGAGTAAAGTGGTAGTGGTAGTGGTTTTACTGTATCCTCCCTAAAAGCCGCGGATACCCTTTCCTTCTCTTTCCCTTCATCCATCCATTTATCCTCTCATAGGATCCCCATCAAATTCTCACCAGTGTAAGCCTCGTCCAGTTGGATCTCCCTGATCTCCATCCCTTTTGAGTCCAGCGCATACTGCACGTCGATTTCTGTGAAGTCGTACGTGTAGGAGCGGAATTGCATGGTGCAGTTCTGCCAGTCAAACGGGAAATATTTAACCTAGACGCAAGAAAAAGAGGAAGAGGGTTGGCGGGATTAGTATACAATTAATTGTGTAGTAAATGTTTCGTTTGTGTGTGTGCTGATGGTCACCTTAACTCCACAAGAGCTGCAGAACAGGGCAGGGGGCGTCCATGTTACTCTGCCATTGAAATACGCCTGGACATGGACATGCAGGGCCACATCGAACACTCCATCATTACTGCAAACAGAGAGGAAAATGCTGATTTTTTCTTGTCATATAGAAAAAAGAATGAATTTCCACCATGATCTCTAACTAACCTATACCAAGTAGACTTAGCAACCCTAACCCTAACCCGCAAGCTTTTGTTTATTTACACATATGAACAGATAATGTTCTATAGTTTTGAGGGCAAACGGGCAACTGTGACCTGGTGGGGTGAATGGACGTCTTCCAATCAGGGGTCAGTGGCTCGATGCTAAGGCTTTGCGGTCAACATGTCAAATAATTATTGGGCAAGGTACTTAACCCAAAATTGCTCTCGTAGGCATGTCGACAGTATTGAATTTGATTTGGTTTAAAAGTCTCACATTAAAGAAATGTAGTGTAAGGATCTTGCTTAAAAGGATTGCCGCATCAGAAACTCCACATACTGTTTATTTTTAAGACATATGACGCATATTACATATTTTGATGTAGGATGGGCTAATACCTTAACCTGTCTTTCAGAGATAATTGGCTTGATTAAAAAAACAAAAATCTGGACATTACGACTTCCTGAAGTGGACACAAGCAAAAATGTAATTGCAGTGCATCCCATATTAACAATGATGCACATAATATGAATTTGCAGCATCCTGGGTCTGCATTTAGCCTCCGCCCCTTGTTTCATCGATCAATCAAACTTTATTATTATTATACACAACACCTAACACAGTGCTTGACAAACCAAAAAGGAAATACAAACTAAACTAAAAGGCAGGGTGTGGTTAGAGTGCCGGCTGCTGGAGTGATGGGAGTGGCTAAGCCGGAGGCCAGACAGCTGAGGCCTGTACTACGAAGCTGGTTCAACCTAACCTGGATATGTTGGAGTTAGCCGGTTGGCCTAAGCCAAAACATACGCGCTGGCGCTAAACTGTACTACGACGCTGGATATCAAGTGGATCGCTCAAGCCGCCGTGTCCTATCTAGTTAGGTGCGCGTTCACATGAAAGGGGTGGTATTTGGAGCATTCGACCAATCGCAAACACGGAGAAGCGTACTGACAGCGCAGCGTCATACTTCCTGAATGAAAAGTGAACTTTAATATTAGTCAAATATGAAGAAGTTAAACTTTAAACATCCATGACTTAAACACTTTACCCAGGATAAAAGCCACATAGCTGCACCTGCAAGGTGAATACAGCTGGTAAAAGAAAAAGTGTTTGAATGCGTACATTAACAGGTTTATGAAATCACTGCCCCGTCCAAGACACGAGTGGATCTGACTTTAATTAGGAGAATTTGACTCGAGTGTTTCGTCAACTTAATGTGTTGCTTAAAATAATACTTCTGCATACAGTATGTGACACTGTGAGTGTTGCACGGCCAGATACGGCTCAAGAAGCTGACTCAAATAAGGAAATATATGATACATTATGATGTGATATGATATGAATGATAATGGGACACATCTACGTCTGCACTCACAGTGCCGCGGACTGTACTTAATGTTACTCTGATCCGGTTACTTATGTCGTGGCAGATATTTAAGTAAGCTTTCTTAACGCTAATATTATAATAGTCAGATTGCTCTGAAGATGGGAGGGGTATTCTATTAATTTTCACGTTCACACAGTCAGTTGATTTTGGCCGGCAGTCTTTCCTGCAACGGCAGTTTTTCTGTATTTCCTCTATGCTGTAATATGAATTGATCGCTTTAAACTCCGCACACGGAGCTCTGATTGGTCAGCAGGCAGTGCTTTCACTGAGTTGATCTCTTAGCCTGCCACCTAACCTGCTCCGGAGCAGGTTTGCCGCTCAGCATAAGTTACCATGGAAATCTAGCCTGCTAAAAAGAGAACCAGCGTCGTAGGACCGGAAAGCCCGAGATTTCCCTGAATTTAGCCGGCTAAGCGAAAATCCAGCTTCGTAGTACAGGCCTCTGATCAGAATCAAGTCATGAGTCAATAAATAAAAGCAGGCTGGTAACCTGATTCTGGTCTCTTGCAGTAGGCTGGGTCCTGAGAGGGGCATCCACTGACACGGGATAGCCTCAATAAATAGAGGACGGCTTTATTGCTTAAATGTTACTTTGCCGAATACCTCAGTTTCTGCCACCTGGCTATTTTTAATAAACTTTGTTTTGTTTTTGCACCACTACCACTCTCCTTCCTCAAGTGTGAGCCACAACGCTCACAAACCAAGTAACACAAACATTTGTGATTGATAAAAACACTTAACACCAATAGAAATCAATAAGCACAGGACTGAATGAACAATAATGAAATAAATAATTATTAAATCAAGAAATTAAGAAAAAAAAACACATAAATAAGTTAGATAAATACGAATAAAATAACATTAAAAGAGTATAATAATACATATAATTTAAACGCCAAATAAAGAGGTGGGTCTTGCTTATAAACTACCTACAGTACAAATAAAGACAGGGTCAGTTCTTGTCAAAGTAATGAAAATACTACGTCTTGTATGTCTGATAATTACAGTCCCACTGCCTCCTTCCGTTCTCTAACCACAGCTATGGAGTACATCAACATTTGGCCGCAGTCCCGTGCTGCAGGACCACACTAAAACATTTTAATTGGCGAGTATGAAATGCAGGATACACTTTGCAGGACTCTTCTAAATGTTGCACTAATGTTGGATATACACAGAGCTCTGGTCATAAGCTCATAACACCACACACAACAAAGACATTAAGTCATTTAGATGCAGATTTAGCCGTCTGTCAGGGTGCAGTGTTTTGGCTTTTATGGCTGTAGGGATTCAACAAGAAGAAGCCTTTGTCCTTAAAGCGATCCCTCCTAAAACCCCGTCCCTGTGAAAATGCTGCAGCTTAAATGACCAACATTGATCGAAGAAGGGTATACACACTTTTGCATTTGCGTGTGTGTACATATTTGTGTGCGGTTCCAAGTGAGCGCCTCCCGGGCTGAAGTAGCTGAATGGTGCCGTCAGCTGGGTTTTTAGGGAGCCATGCTGCTTAATTGCCTATAAAGCGTTGATGGATGGACCAGTGGGGTTCTTTACAGCGGTGTTAATGGGAGTGTGTGTGGGGATGTGAGAAAGAGAGACTGCACTTGCTGTTTTAAGTATCTTAATTTACTAATTTAATGCTGTGACAAGAGTTTTTTCCCTCTGTAGGAACCGTACCTGCACTGGCTCTTTGACCTAATGTCCACAGTCTCACCACAAACTATCTGCAGCATGTTCATGATCAATACGGCAACAGGTACTTATACTGCCTGTACTTACAACTATTGTACAAAGGACATTTTCTATCTACCTTTATATCTGTAAAAGTTTCTTCCTTTGTATATAATGTTTTAGTCTTATTTGGCTGGAGTTAAACAGCTAAATAGAGGACGAAATGTAGCAAATGAGCACAGTGTGTCATTCGAAGGCCACTGTTCAGACTTAATACTTTGTCCTCTCTACAAGATCAGTTATCATCAAGACTCTTATATCTGTATTTCTTGAATAATGTATTGAAGCATTCTTTTTTCACATTGTGCTTGAGGAGGAATGACAAACAATAACTTGATTTAACGCCTGTAATGGAAAAAATTGAGAATTGGCAAAGACATTTTCTGCAGCCATGAGGTGACACAGCGGTTGCCCAAACCAATTCTGAAGAATCTTTCCCCTGGTCAGAGATGTTAACTAGTTCATAAAGAATAAATCAACATTCTTCATATTAAGACAAGCAGGGCAATATAACTGTTTGTCCATAACTTAAGGTTATCCTCCAGAGGAACTTGTACATCTGATATGCTAGACTTCCAGGTGTCCCTGGACAATAAACTATCTTGTGTAAGCTTGTGCATACACTGGCAATAGAAAGAGATAACAGCAACTCTCCAAGGCTACATGCCTGAGTCATGAGAAACGGGAAACTGAGCATAAAGAATGATGATCTAGGTCAAGGGCTAACACCAAGCAAAGATATTCCTCAACACCGCCTTGCAGATGTATGCCTAGTCAAGGAGCCAAAAACGTGTTCCTAAGGTCACATTTACGTTCAGCTTTGACCACCAAATTCTAATTAGGTTATTGATGTTTGTGCCAAATTATACAAATTGACTCAAGTGGAAACAGGAACTGTCGTAACTATTCTTACAACAGTTCAATTCCTGGTTTAATGGCTTCATATCAGCAACGTATTAGAAGAAAAATAAAACCACCAAACTTCTTTGGTTGCATTTCCTTGCTGCTGTTTTTGATGTGAAATACCAATATCTACCATTGTGTAGACTAGACAAGTGTATAATTGATCATTCACAAATGTTAACTTAGTGCACCAGAGTGCTTTGCATGAGCTGTTTAAAAAGATACTCTGAATCTCTCTCCTGCAGACCTAGCCGAGAGCAGCCATTGGGGTCATGACAAGGAGCTTTTATATTAAATGCCAACTCGTGTTATCATCAGAGATGGGGTCGTTACTAAAAAAAAGTTATATATTACATATTACATATTACTTTTTAAAAAAGTAATATATTACACTACTTCGTTACTCTCTACATAAAGTAACTCGTTACTTTACTCGTTACTTTACTCGCAGGGCCGGCCCGCCCCTCCCTACAGGCAGATCACGCAGACTGCTAAAGTTTCAAATGTTCTCTTTAGTTCAGTTTCCATTGTCGCATAAGACTGATCCAGATAGCTCTGACCATGGCTGTCCTGTCTCCTGCTATCTGTATTTTGCGCAGTATATCTCTGAACGATGCGATGGTGATTCCACTGTGCAAATGGGCAACATTACCTCTACTATGAAGGATGCTACAAGCCTGTCCATCTCTGCTTTGGTTACCGGTCCTCCAAATTCTAATTTGTGCCGCTTCGGAGTCGGCGGCGGCGCACTCACAACATCCTCACTCTGGGTTCGGGGGTCCGGTCCTTAGCTATTAGCTTCACCTTAGCATGTGTTCTTTGCAGGTGTTTGTTGAGGTTTGACGTGGTGTTTGCAGCAGTGTATAACAGCTTCTGGCCTGGACACAGTTTGCACCTCACCGTCACATTCCTGTCTATTCTTCGGACGAACTCAAAATAATGGGCATACCTCCACCCCTCGAAAGTTATCGCTGACTCTGCCATGTTTATGCAGCATTGCACGTGGAGATGTGGACGCGCAAGTCGCGCAGATTACGTACATATAAACCTGCGGCGGAAACCCCTCTTGTCTGTCAGTGTGATTATGACTGATTTTATAAAAGTAACGAAGTAACGTGTGTCGGGGCAATGTTAGTAACTGTAGTGTGATTACTGAATTATAAAAGTAACGCGTTACACCCAACTCTGGTTATCATGGAGGATGTACAGTAGGGAGCAGCGACGTGCAGTCAGGGGAGGCAGGGGAGGCAGAGCCTCACCTGTCATACTCCAATGTAACGGAAAAACAACTAAAGAAAAACTAAATACTAATAATAATAAAATGTCTTCACTGATCTGTGTTGTAAGTGTGATTTATGTATGATTCAAATCGCTTTTTATAGTCAAAATCAGCAAATTTGCCGAGCTCCGCTACGGGAGCGATGAGAAGTGAGGCAGGCACGTGCTCTGCCTCTCGTAAGCCCACAGTAACTTGCTGGAGCACGGGCACTAATTTAGCGCGGGCACTTATTTTGTGAGTGCGCTCAAGCCAGTTACTGTGGGGTGAGGTGAGGCACAGATGAGCTCTGCCTCACCTCAGAATGCGTCACCCCACAGAAACTGGCTGGAAAGCGGGCACTAAGCACATGCCTGTTACCATCTCACTGTAGGTCACCAATGTGATGTTTGTAGATCCCTTTATTACATTTATCCTCGCCATCCATAGTCTCTAAATAACTTATTTCACGTATATATGATATTTAGGCTCGCTGGTCTCATCATACAACGGCAATGAAAAAAGCACCAGGAGAGGCAGCCATAACCTCTGCCGCACTGAAGGGGGCGCACGTGAGCCCACAGGTTCTTGTTGCTACTGTAATTCTACGCAGAGACGGTAGACGCAAACAACAAACTAGACTTTTGTTTTAAAACTAGAGGGAGATAAGGAGGACTTTTACAAAAAAGTAATAGAGATTGTTGTCCAGAAGGATAGCATGGACTTCATCTTCAAGTCAAGGTAAGACCACATTTCTAATGAAAATGGGATCTTACTAAGAAAGAACAATCCAATATTTAGATCTTGGGTATCCTTTTGTTGAACGGTCTGTTTAAAATGAATCGAAGCATCAGACTAAAAAAGCTTTTGAAAATAACTGAATATTTCGATTAAGTTCAAAATATAATATTTGTAAATCTGACTCTGAAAGAGTCAGTGTCTCACCAGCCATGAACCTCACCGCACGTCACTGGTAGGGAGCATATGTAAAGTTGATTATATAACTAACAGGAAGAGTTAGCTAGCTGTTTGACAATTGCCCAGCTATGAGCAGGGTGGATGTAACGACTGAATGAAAAGGCATTCCCAGTATTTTCCTCATAAAACATGTGTCGCTCTTATTCACTCCATGCTATGTATGGCCTACGCAGAAACCATCCTTCACAGATAATGTGGAAAGTTTGGAAAGAGACCAAATAGTTTGTCCTCTCAACTCTCTGGAGCTTATTAATTCATGCCAAATGGAGTGCAGGGCTCGTGCTTACTTATTGAAGAGGACCATGTCAGGCAGCCAAACCTTCACAGCGGGGATTCGCATCACGTTAATCCCATCATGCTCGTTGGGATTCCATCGCAACCGATAATCCATCCATTCCTGTTTGGAAAGTTAAGAGTTTGTGTTGGAATAACAAGTACTTAAAAAGGGCAGAAACAACACAGACATAAAGTGACAGAAGCAGAAGCTTTACATTTACACGTGTAACCAATTTGTAATTTCATCAGTAGATTCTTCCCACTTCTGTAATTAGATTCCACCGGGATGATTCCCTTGTGCATTTGTCCTTGCATAACAAAACACCATTTGCATAATTTTTCATTTTGCACATTATTAGGACTATTCCAAGTGTTCTCGCTTGGTTATTTGTGGGGTGTATCGTAAATGAGCTATACAGGGAAAAGGAGGTCTCATGTTAACGTGCTTATTTGAGGAATAATGATATGATGAATCATATGAAATAGAAGGAAGTAATCACTTATAGTGCATAATGAATGCAACTCTCTGTTTTAGTAGTAACAAGCTCTTGTGTCCCTTTAAACAAACACACTTACCAGATTCATGACAACAACTGTGCTCATTTCTTCTCTCTTCATATTCTGAAACAAAAATGAGTGTGTTACTGGTACATCTTCCAAGTAGTGTTGTGATGATTGATAAGATGAGTCTTATCATCATTTTGGACATTTTCACTACAGGTTATGCACTTACCACCAGGGATCATCTTTGCAAATTAACTTCAATTTTACATTTTCACACACTTGTTTAACTGCTTGGCGATCTACTTCTGGGCACTGCTCCATAGTTTCTCTTTTGTTTAATGGACTTATAACTTCTCACTTCTCATTTTACATACATATACATATATTTCATTGAATATCTCATTGTGAACACTAAATGTAAATACAATCCAATTTCTTTATTGTGTTAGCTGTAATTTAGCCTATCAATAATGTTTTATTTGTCAGATAGTTTACATCTCAACTTTTATATTTTCACTCTTTTAGTTCTGTTTTTTTAGATGTTTATATTGTATAATTGTTTATTTTCTACTCTTTCTTTATTTCTAATTATGTGCAATACTTGTTTTACATGCTGCTGCAATGAAAACATTTCCCAATTCGTGATCAATGAAGTTTATCCTATTGTATCTTATTGTTTGCAAAAAGCTTTTTCTCAAAGATGACTTCTGGAACTTGTTCATGGATAAGACATTTTAATAAGGAATGAATTGCTCTGATCAATATTGAGAGACCAAAGTTAGTTTTTTCCGTTCCCTCACATGTAACATTATATTTCCCCCTCACATGAGTGACAAGAACACATATTCACATCAATTCCATTGTCATTTTGAAGTCAAATCTGCTAGCGAAATTCAAAATATGCTCCAATACTGAATAAAACGTTCAATTGGAGATTTATTTATTTACCATCATTTGTTTTTTTCATCTTCTGGCCCATTTGTGTCACAAGAGGAAAACATGTTGTAGATTTATCAATCTTCTCAACAACCTAAACATGGCTCTTTCACAGTGTTTCAAAGTATATTAACCCTCCTGTTGTCTTCGGGTCAAATCTGACCGATTTACTACTTTCATCAATCCTAACTTTTTTGTTTTACATTCGAATGCATTAAGGCTTTATGATATCCTTCACAGTAGACATTTGAACATATAAAATGGCTGATCACCACTTTCATTGAATTGTGGATGATTTAGTCAACTTTGTAACACCCATGGTGTTCCCGGTCCACCATAAAGAAAAGGAATTAGTAACCATCCGGATCAGATCACACACACACACACACACACACACACACACACACACACACACACACACACACACACACACACACCACACACACACACACACACACACACACACACACACAACACACACACACACACACACACACACACACACACACACACACACACACACACACACAAGATGTGTTCCCCCCTCCTTATGTGCCCAATCCCCCCATGTGAATCACAACACTCACAAACATACACAGAACAATTTGACACATTTCCCGCTCTTATGTGCCCATCCCCCCACATGGATCACACCTGGCACACGCAATACATGTTCAGTGTCTATTCTTTGTATATGTACTGCAGTGTTTCATGTATACCAGTAGTAGTTAAATGAACTTTGGTGATGATTAATGGTTTTTGTGTTAATGTAATAGCAGTTAAAACAGGACCGATCAAATTTGACCGCGAACACCAAAGTAAAGGGGGGAAAACGAAGACAATAGGAGGGTTAAACAGATTTTGTGCTTAGCAGAGAATTCATATTTAATATATTACAGTGATCCAAGGAGGCGGAACAAGACACACATTCTTCTCTCTCTCTCTGTTCCTGCATTCCTAACCTTGTGCTTCTGACACTTATATGTTAGTTTGACAGCATTAATGTGAAAGAAATGATGGCAACGTACTGCTGTCATGAATTTGATGTAACCCTGATGCTTAATCAGCTATTATATGCTATACTGCCATCAGATAAATGTAGAAGGGTTTGTCCGACATGACCTCTAAGCTAAAAATTAGGAACTTTTGCCTATAATAAGTTTTCATCTGCCCTTAATTTTGCCCAGATGAAAGTGATAGTGTCAGTGCTGTGAAGGTGCGTGGTTGTGTAGGCTACATGTCCACAACAGGAAATGAATAAATGTGTGTGTTTGTGTCCATGTGATGGTCCGACCATCCGGAAGGTGGAGCTTCCCTGAGCCAGGCCGGCTATTTAAAACGCATGAAGGAATGTCAGGGAGACAGCTGGGACAGAAAGCAGTAGGGGGGGGGGGGGGATAGAGGGAGGTTGACTTAAACCATCTCCCTCTCTCACCCTCACAAAAACTCATCACTAACCTATCACTTACTGATACTTCCTGTAACTGTTTGAATTCACCTCAGGCTTATGTTGGGGGGAAATGTTAATAATAACACTGCTGTTATCCAGCTGACAAGTCAAGGGCGGGGGGGGACGGAGCATCCAAGTGGGTCAGTTTTCAAGAACGTTCCACTCCAGATCTCAAGGGTCCCATGTGACTTCCTCTCATGAGTGAGACTGACCTTGAGTGGAGATGTAAGGCTCACTGTATATGTAAATGTGACACAATGTGGATGTGTGTGGCTGTGTACACAAAAGACCCAAGGGAACAAATAAGGAACAGATAAAGTGGTGAGTGTGTTTGAATCGTCACAGAGACAAAATGGTGCATGGTGCTAAAACACTATATACCAGCATGGGTGAATATCAATTCAATACTTCACATGAGTAGCATAACTCTTTGTGCCATTTGACTCAGCAGGCTAGCAAGCAATGGATTCAGATCCAGATGGCTCTCAGATATATTCACAGTTTGAATTTTAAAACTTTCTCTTAAATAAGCTCTAATCAAAGTCAGAACTGTTCTTGATGCTAGTTTATATCTGGATGAGAAACAGTATTGAAGCTCAGTAAATGTAAATTAATAAGAAAAGGGCAGCACATGAGAAACCCAGGAGATTTAGTCTCGTCACAAAAAACAACTCAAAGATCAAAGTTTGGAATGGTCACCTGGGGTATAGTTAGCCTAAAAACTAGCAAGACTATCCTTTAGCTTTACATACAGTAAATAAATGCTTTAAATAATTTGCATACAGTACCGTTAACACCATAGTTAATCTGTTCATGAATGACACAAACATTCCCTGGTCTAGAATATTGAGACTTCAACATTAAGCCTCAGCATCCGAGAGATCCTGATTTAGTCTCGAGCTAACAGGTCATCAAACTGGAAACTGGTCATCCTCAAATAGCGCTGGAATCGGCAGTTATTTAAGCGGAGTTCCTGGAGAACACTACAGAATTCACCCAACTGTGTGCAATGTTTGATGATGTTATGAACCCACACACTACGACGTTTACTGTTCCTGTTTGTAGGACTTCCAAAGCAGGTACAACGCAGAAACAGTTGTCATATCTTCCATAATTCATTTTGGAAAGAAACCAAACACTGTTTCTAGGATTAACGTAAACCTGTTGTTGGGACTTTAGGCCACGCCTCATCAATGGCGCATTTATTTGGGTGACGCAAGTAAACACAAATGTTGCCGCAATAAAAACGTATATTCGTGTCCGGTGTGAAGGCACCATTGGGAGTCCTTCTTTGGCAATTTGTTTCATTAGTTGTGTGATAGTGGGGCATCCATTTAATGATTCTATTTTAGCCTTTATAAAAGCATTTAAACAGAGAAGTGTTAATCCAGCTTCAAGTCGCATCTGCTATTTACTTATGAATAAATGGCTTGATTTCCGGCACATTTGCTTTTCAGTTAATGGAAGACATAGGTGGCCAAATATTAACTGTTTGTCTATATACCTGCCACTGTTGTGTTGTGTTCTGGTTGTGCATGTGAGTGTGTAAACAACTAAGTGTAAGGGTCTTGGGCCTCACCAGTCCAACCAAGGAGGAGAGGACCATCCCCACTCGAACCACCACCCTATTTTCGGGGCTCAATGCTGGCCGAACCTTTAGGTTGTAGTTGGTAAAGAGCTTCACCATCAGAGACTTCTCTTCATCCAACGCACCTAAATCAAAAATACATAGAAGGCTTCATTGATTCTGTTTATAATGGATTATGTTCATAACCCCTTAAGCAAACAATAGCAGTTACCGTAGTGACTATTGGGAACCAATTTCCATTTATATTCTCAATGCCCGACCCTCTTACAGCTTAAAATTCCTAGAATGTACCCAAAGACTTTTAACTAAAGTTTCAGCAAGGTGCAAAATCCAACACACTGGTGACAAGTGAGGGTGAAGCTTACTGATTGGCAGGTAGGGTGTGTCATGCATCCAAATATGACCTGGATGTACCCTCTTGTTTTGCAGCTGTGTCAAAAGTGCACATTGAGTTGATGCTTCCCAGAATTAGTTAGCACAGTAGAAAGCCCTAACCCTTAGAAAGCCAGACTAGGGTTAGGTCAATGAAATCAATGGGACATCTACTGTCTCAGCACCAAGTCACATTGAAAAAAAACATAAGGTACACATACAATGAGTGTTGGTGGAAGAGAGTGGAGTGGAGGCTTGTGGAGAGATTGGGTAAAAGATAAAAGTGAAGTGTGTGACTTAATGCAAAGGGAGAATGGTATGGTTAATTTCCAAATATAGTCCATTATCTTCTGTTCTTTTGCTTGGTTTGCAGTCTTCCTTATCAATGGGAATTTTAAGGATATTTGATTTTAGTTAGACATTTTTCCTTGAAAGATACAATTACCACCATTACAATGGGCAAATAACATAAAAATAAGCTGTAAGAAATGTTTCATTATCAACATTTAACACTACTGTAACATATACCGTAAAAAGCTATGGTCAAAATGGTGAAAAGCCAATGCAAAATATCCCTCGGACCATAATATATGTCTTATAGAAGCATCAGTTATTGTGGCTTCCTACTCGCCTGTAAAGCTGTCTACCTAACAAAATGCAAACGCTTACACCCCACACCATATTCATACATTATTCCTGCTTTATTTCCAACCATTTCCTCCTCAAGTTTTGGAAGGTTAGACACATTTATAATCGGCAGCTCTGGTGATGCAGCATTCATCACGTTTGGCATGGCTGTGGCCCCGGCAGGATCTGACCTGACAGGAATAAATGACAACGATCACCAAGCAAGGCAGCCCTATTAGCTAGGCGGAGGGAAACATGGCTGCTGATGGGCGAGGCTGTGAGGTGGTTTTAAAGAGCTGGGATTTAGCATTTTTTACTCTTTTCCTATTTCAAATGACTTGGTAATTAGACAGATTAAAGTACAAAGTTGAGGTTAGGCCATTTTGAAGGGTAGTGTTGGGCCAGTGAAGGATGCTTGCAATGCATATAACTGAAAGAAATAAGCACATTTGAATAAATGGCATAAGGAAGTGTTTATGAGAATTCTAATGATAAAAGTAAAAAGTTGGCACATTTATGGCGCTTTTCCACTGCAGGACCTAGCATGGCATAGTACGGTATGGTTAGGCCTTGGTAGGCCAGGCTCACTTTATGCTGCGTTTCCATTACAGTTTACCAACTGGGGTAGTAACTATAGTAACGCAGTGTAGGCGGGGCGATCGGCTGTTCGGCGGGCGGAGTGACGCTGCGTAAAACTGCCGTGACGTCATCTTCAATGCGAACCACAAAACCAAAACATCAGCCGTTAGCTGTTAGCACTCAGAGCTCACAGCTCCTCATATCTGTTCAGAAACTAGACAAAAGTTAAACAAGTACAAACCACAGACTGTCTGTGTCATGGTGAATACAGTCGCTGGTTTATTTATGTCTGTAGGCCATTGTTGTGAGTGTGGACGGAGCATATACAACGTTAGCTTAGCCTGATCGATCCGATCTCCATTCAGAAAACACGCATTTTAAAAGATTTTTCGCCTGCCGTCTTGTCTGCAGACCAGTATCAGTATGTTGTTACTTCGGCATCATTTTGAAACGTGTATTACATTTAAATCACGATAAAATATGTTCATTTTGTTGTAGTTGTAGCCCCCTTGCCAGCGATTCTCTCTGACCATTCAGCAGTCGAGAGTGTTTACGTCACTAGTTTAGCATATAGAGAACCGCAGTGACGTGTCCTAAAACCCGGAAGTAAGTTAGCATTTTTATCACGTCCGGTTCCTTCGACAAAAAGCAATGCAATTTCTCCATAGGATTTTGGAAAATAGCTCGAAATAAGGTCTGTGTTTGACACAAATTGAAGAGACAGATCACGTTTTGTTCTACGACATTAAATACATCAGCAGTGACCCCGCTGGTGATTTTTGAAGAGTTTACGTGTCTGAAAAACGATGGTTGTTAACATGTGGCTGAATAGGACTACAGAAGTTGTCCAGGCCGTTTTACGTCATTACACCGAACACGTAAAACACTCCCGCTAAGTTTGTTTGCCCTGTTCTGCTTGAAAGCAAGCACTTGCCTCCTGCAAACTGTTCAAACAAACGCTTCAACTTGTATCATTTAGAATCTGTATGTTTGAATATTGATCTTAAGTTGGCGTGACGTTGAAGCAGCGACTGTAGTTCGTTTATAGCATAACGTTAGCATTTTGCTTCTGGCGACTAGATTTATGATTCGAAAATTATAAAAGTAGGGTAGACATGTGGAGATTATCCGGCTGAACAAAACGTGATCCGTCTCTTAAATGTGTGTCAACCACAGACCTTATTTGGAGCTATTTTCCAAAATCCTATGGAGAAATTGCATTGCGTTTTTGACGAAGGAACCGGAAGGAGTTTACTTCCGGGTTTTAGGACGCGTCACTGCGGTTCTCTATTCAGCCCGGTTGTTGGCCCGGTAAGAACCTCGATTTTGGAGGGCCAGAAAAAAGGTGAAAAAGTAGCCCTGAGCCGGAACTACCTCTAGTGGAAAAGCAAAAAAAACGGGCCTGGTTTGGCCCGGCCCGCTTAAACCGTGCTTCGTGCTGCAGTGGAAAAGCGCCATTAGTAGTGACCAAAGTGATTTCATAAGGACATTGAGAGCAGTTCGATATGAACCAAATCTTTTTCTGAGTGGTTTGAATACAATGTGCTTGTCCATAACAAGTTGGTTAGTTATCAAATCAACAGCCTCAAACAAGAAAGCCAATTATTCTTTATGAAGAAATGGAGGCCACTTAACTGACCAACGATTTATTATGGTTAAAGTAACTTTCGATGGTATTTAGTTAAGTTTTTGGAGTTGTGACCTGACTTTACCTTAAACATTACCCTAATGTTTCCATTTAAATGAAACAGGATGGCATCTAGTTGATCCATTGCCATGAAATATGCATCTATTGTATTACTATCATTTTTTACATCAAATAGGCATCCTAATACTATTGAAACTCACATTCACCTCAGCTGTTCTTTCTTTTTAACTCCAACCAACAATCAGCATGCTCTAATAACGCTAAACCTGTCCAATATTACGTGCCAAACATTAGCATGTTAGCAAGTCACGTTGAGCATTAGCATGCTAATGTTTGCATTTACCTCAAAGCAATACTAAAGTACAGCCTCACAGAGCTGCTATTTTGTTATAATGTGATTTTGTATGGCTCTTCTGAGTTAAAATACCTTGTACTTATTTTAAAGAATGTGTTGTTGCTGTGACATTTAACTACTGTTTAATGTTTGCTGTGATTCAGTTTTGTCAATGAGGCAGAAAAGAAACATATTCATGAAAACTAAAGCAACATGAGCTAAAGGAGAATAAAGTAACTTGAGCTTTGTTTATGAGTCATAAACAAAACTATGAGAAGGGCAAAAGACGTCATAAATTATGACGTCTTTTGCCCTTCTCATAGTCGAGATCTGTATTGCCAAGCCCTATGGATTATGTTAAATTGATCTCCACACCATGTCCAACGGAAATGTAACTATTGTACACCTTTAAAAGTATGTGAACTGTGTCCCAGAGACAGTGTTGCTAGTTCTGGTGAACTCCTTGTTCAATGTTGCATTCTACATGTGATAGTAATGTATTGTCAAAGTAAAATGTGTATCATGGCTACTACAGCTAAGTTACATTGGCATTTTGTGTCAATTTACCTCCCAATGTGCTCAGGCAGCATACACAACATGCCAGCAGGAGCAGATCCAGGCCTTTCATGGTGGCAACCCAAACCAAAAAGATCTCCCCTCCGCCAAACAGATCCTTAGTAAATAAATCCAAACTTTGTTGGTCCCTCTTTGTCTTTCCAGTGCGGCCGACTGGAACTTTTCAGTGCAACTTTTGGTTTGGTCGGTTTGTACTGTTGTTGTCTGTCAGTCAGGCCAGTGTGGCCAACTGCTGTCTCCTCCAATTACATGCTTGGGGAGGGGGGGATGCGTGTCACTGTTCACCCCCTCAGTCAGTGTGGATCATGCTGAACTCAAGCCCAATGAGAGTTTAGGCAAGGCAAGGCAAGGCAAGTGTACTTACATACCACTGGTTCTCACTGGTTCTTCATATGACATTTCCTTCTCTGCTTCCTCATCCAATAGAACCAAATTGGAAACAATGAAGCTACAATACACTCAATGGGTCACTGGCTATGATACCTTCGGAATTATAGCAATGATTGATCTACATTTGACACTTACTTTGTGCCCAAAGCTAAACCTTCATTTTCTCTATCTTGCTTATTTCGAGGTCCGTAATGGAATCTGTGCTTTGCAATTTCATTCAGGAGCAATACAGGAAGTACTGGTGTGCTCTTTATTTAGTGAAATGTAATAAGTAAAGTAGGCGAGCCTCTGTTTCCACATGTATCATGTTGTATATTAAAAAAAACAATTAGAAAAATTGTGTTTGTCACCTACTGTAGAGATTAGCTACCATAACACCTCATAATGTGGAATCTTCTCTCTCCGTAAGTGGCATTGACTTGTGGAGGTTCTTAGTTTACCATATATGTAAAGCTTACTGTACTTTCCATTAAGTGATGAATGGCTTGAACATTTCAAGTAACGCAATGAAAAGTGTAGCAAAGAAACCAATCGTTAGTCGCTTAAAGGCCTCACTGCTTATTCAACTTAAACATGGAAAGCATGGTTGTCTTGTATGGTGGAGAAGTGATATACAATGCCCTTTCTGCAAAAAAAAGCATTGTTCAGTCACCCACTCCTATTATGCCTACCGTATAGTTAAACAAAAATATTTCACTGCCACACTCTGCTGTATTTCCTGAAGGCCTATGCAGTAACACATCTCTACCAGCCTATATCCCTTTAGTTCATGCCACTGTGCTTTTTCACTCACATTCACAGGCCTTCCACACCACCGTAATGTACGATCCACTATCACTGCCATTTGGCCTCCTGCCAATTTAATTACCATAGAAGCTAACTATTAACAGCTAGCAGCTAGTGTCAAGTCACACATCAAATTTGTGGTCATGAGGGAGTGTATATGAAGACACTGTTGGCAGTGAGTCAAAGTCAGGGAACTCTCTCAGGGCAACCATAATAGATCACTGTTTAATTTGGAAGTAAATAGATAGTTTAATAAGATAGATTGCTTACCCATGATTGTTATTTTCACGGGTTATAACAAATGACATGTAACGGAATGATATTAATCGGATCACCTCAAAAAAGTTGATGTCACTGTAAGAACAATTTAATTAGTTTGATGTTGGAGATGCTTTTAACAATTAATTCCAGCACAGTGTCAACTTTTCTCACTTTGATTATATTGAAAATCCATCAGTGTAATCACTTCCTTTGTGCTTATTTACCTAATTACCTCGCAGAGATAAACTTTGTCCTATCTGAGATTTCAAATTAAAAGTCTGCCAATTGATCTTTGTGTTCAGTTTACAATTAAAAGTAACACAAGAATACTTAATGGGCAAAAAGGTTTGGGGAGACCTTAATAAAGCAATCTTGCACGGTTGAACATCTTATTCCAAAACCATCAATCTGGTGCTATTAATCCCTTTCAACAACAGGTCAGCCACTTTTGTTGGGAGAAAGGGTAATCCAATTATTCTCCAAGCTTGATGTCTGGGTTTGGCTCTTTTTGAGTAGGCCAGTCAACTAATTCCACTCCAAACTGGGAACACAATTTCTTATTCGAGCAGCTTTCTGCCATGTTATAACAGGAAATGGACATACTGGAACTGTTCCACAACGTTGGAAGCACACCATTGTCTAAAATACAAATGTAGTATTATGACTTTGCGTGTTTGGAAGTTGTTTTTCTTTTCAGCTTACCGATTGTGTTCGGTGGATTTGGTTCAGTTAGTTTAAGCTGGTCCAAAAGCCAGGTTTTAATGGCATTTGACATCCAGTGTTAGTCTTGACTTATTATATTTTCTCTTAAAATCAGTGTTATGTTTTCTTTCGGTCCAGACTAATTATGCACCTTTCGAGAATTTGGATATCCTTGATCCAAACCAACTGTTCTCCAGATGCATACGCGTCCAAAGGAACCCAGCCCAAACCATAACATATCATATAAACATATTAGTCAACTCACCTAAATTAGAAATGTGGGTCAAATGTCTTGACATCAAAGAAAGAAAACTCCCAGTAGACCAGCGATACAATCATACAAATATATTAGTTTGTTTTATTCAATTATATCCAATAATACGTATCCCCTTGACTTTGTGTAAGTTATCATAGAAATAAATACATATTGCAAATGCAGAGACAAGAGTTCAGGATAATAGAGTGTTGGAGGATGGGGGGCTTAAGGGGTTAAAGAGTAAATATTTGGGTAAAGACTGTTTCTTCGAAGGTGTCCAGTAAATGATTGGCGCATGCATGCTTGTAGTCCCGCCTGCCTGTGATCCTCTACCTCAACCCAGGAGTTTCAAACTACAAGTCCCACAACTCTCTGTATTCCTTTTCAGCTGTTTTCTCGCAGTGATCCATGGGTTCAGATGGCGTATAGTAGTTGTGTTATTCCACCTTGCCAGCAACAGGGGGAGTTACTGCACCCCAACCATGTTTGCATGGATATATTTATATATAGATATCTTTTTTTGCCCCATTTGTATACAAAAATAGTGTCATTTTGGCTTTGGAAGACTGAAGCACTCTTTTTGCATTTGGAAGACAAGAAGGAAAGCAAGATTATGGTGATTTCCTTAACATCGTTTCTGGAAGACTTTGTCACAATTACTTGGATCGTCCATGCAGTACAAAGAAAAGAAAAGATCCCTCAAGGATCGATCGAAGAATCGCACACACACGTAGCAGGTGTGTTTGTGTGTGTCTGAGGGGAAGACAGACGGTGAATGAGCAGTCCACATGCTGCCGGTGAGCAAATTCAAATCCCGTTAAGGTATCAAAGATCGGTCAGACAGGTGAGTGCTAGAGGGGTGTGGAGGACTTGGCGTACTTAAGTTTTCTCTCTTTGAGCTCTATTGTCCAACATCCAGAGAAAAGACACGTTTAAACACACTAAAACAAACTAACACACATGGACAGACCAACATGATTCATATCAATACTCAGAATTCCTCATTTCTTTATAGGTCACAGTACTTCCAATGATATACACATCTTTTTTTAACAAAACACTTTGGGGTAAATAAAGACATTTAAGCCTTGTGTACAATCACAACTTAAACACTGTCGGTGCATCAGCTTGGGAGAGGTGGAGTCCCTCCATGTTGTTAAAGGTCACCCCAATTTGCCACATTTTGGCTTGGTGCAGGGTGTATGTGTGCAGTGCAGATGTGCGCTGGGAAAAACACAGCCTGATTTTGATACCTAAAGTTAATGTGGGGACAATATCATACAGGATGTGACATGATGTGCTCTGGATTTCAGTATAAAAGCACTTTTTATGAAGAGGGAGCAAGAGAGAAAAATGTGTCCGAGGACGGCGTCACTCTTTTTATCACGTGAGCCTCTCTCTTCCTCCCTCTCTTTTTTGTGTTTTCTGCTGCATTGCAGATGTGGTGAAGGGACTCCACCTCGTAGTAATGCACGCGCACGCACACACACACACACACACACACACACACACACACACACACACACACACACACACACACACACACACACACACACACACACACACACACACACACACACACACACACACACACACACACACACACACACACACACACACACACAGCAACCCAGATCACAAAAGGGGTTAGAAAAATAAAAGCTCTAATAAAACACGCAGTTGGTTTCTATATCAATATTCATCTTTTTTTTGTTCACACTCCTTCCCAGATAATGTGGCTGCACCTTGTTAATGGAGTTTATTGCTTTCTGCCCAAGGACTCACACTCATTGATTTGGCCTCTGATTTACCCTCTACCCCCCCCCTCCAATTCTCTTTATTCCCTCACACATATTGGACATACAGAGATATTTAATCACGTTTACAAAACGATTACACACAAAGACCAGAGCTGATGAGTGAGATCGGGAACACACGCACACGCACACACACGCACACGCACACGCACACACACACACGCCTCCAGGTTAAAGGGAAGTTGTGTTTGCAAAAAGGATCAGAGAGGAAGTGAATCTTCAGAAGGAGACTGTGAGGGCACAAGTTAGCTGAAGTAAGTGTGACACACACCTCCCTCTCTCTGAGTCTTTCACAACCCCGCATGACCCTCGCTTCATTTGCTCTGCAAGCAGGGAGAGACCTGACCCTGTAAAAATGGAGTCCCCAGAGAGGTATGTGCGCGGGTATGTGTGTGTGAGGGTTTGACGTGTGAAGCATGCAGCTGAATCCGATATATTTCTTTAACCCCCTCATATATCCACAGACACACACCTCTCCCACTAATTTTTCATAGAAAAAGAAACAGCGAGCCCAAAGGCCAATATTTAACATTTACAGCTGAAACCAAAGACATTTATCAGTGAGTTAAAGGCTGTATATTCAGCAACAGAGGGGGTTCACTAATCAAACATGTGCACAGTTAGACGGCCTGCCGAGATAAATGGCAATCTTTGCATCCTGTTATCCACAGGGGTGTTTGAAGTGAAGCCTGAAGGCTGGTGAACAGAGAAGCTGATTTCAGGCTTCACAAGGGACTAACAGACAGAGAAATTAGTGTGCAAAACACACACACACTCGCACACAGGGAATACATTACTTTTTTATCTACCTTTTTGCAAAGTTGCAAAGTGAAATCACTGCAAAACGGAGTGGGATTTTCATACCTCCTCTTTTACAATCTTTACCCCCATCTACAGACCCAAATATATCAATAATACTCCGATATCAACATCTAATTAATCTGATTAATCTAATTAAAAACGATAGTATCTGTTAGAGCCTCTGCATAAATTATAGTAATTACATTACAGATAATAAAAATAAAGAGATTATAGGTCAGATTGATTAAAATAAAAATGTAAAAAGAGCTAATCTAGCTGCATATTCTAGAGGGAATAGATCCTCATGACTGATGCAACTATAAGTGGCCAATGTATCATTTGTATTGGATTGGATTTAATCACCATGTCTACACACATCATGAAATATTCCAGCAGATATAAATAAAACTGTCTGAGGCAGGAAATGAGATGAGTGTAGACCACCTGTGCATCTGTGTAGGCATATGCATCAACTTAAACATAAATACTGCATTGAAGTTTTAAGGGGCTCTCAATCAGTATAGTAATGCACCTCCATAAGGTGAGAGGGCTCACCAGAGGCCAATTTAAAAAGAAGGATGAAAGTTAAAAGAGCAGAGGCTGAGATATCCTGTCTTTTTGTATCATTTTATTTGTCTAGCTGCAGCCTACATTTCCCATGATGCAACTTATCTTTTATCAGAACCTTTGTGCCTCGTAAATGCTCACTTATTTTAAACCCCATAGGCCTACCTCCAGTCAAATGCCGGCTTGTGTGCATGATTGCTTATCATACTTTATCTGGCAAATATTCTTATTTATTTCCTCAGTCATTATGAGCTTGCACTAACATATTAGCCCTTAACTCTCCTTTAGAGCTATTTTCTTTTTGATACAAAGTCTGAAAACAGCAAACATGACATATACATAAGAAAATATTGCAACATAGATTTCCCAGCCCTTAACATAGAAGTTGTAACAGAAGTCATGGCTTTGCAGAATTCCTCCTACCCTCTCATCTAAGTGTATTCCTCTATGAAGTCCCACTACTGTAAGTCTTTTTTCCAATCTAGTTGGCAGGAGTTTCATTTAATTAAACATTTGTGTAATTACTTTGTGAATAGTACTCGTGCTCTGGATTTAGCGATCCATAGGGGGAGACTGGTCGGACACACTAGCCTGAGGGTCCATTTAACAGTTTAATTAAGGTCTTCAGTGAGTGAGTGAGTGAGGTTTTAAAAGTAGTTTGTGTTGAATAAATAAAATAAAAAAATAGTAATAGCTTTGTTCCCAACAAGTCCTTCCTATAGATTGTTTGTGGAATCAGTTCTTTCTCCGTTAGTCTTCCCTCTTGAACCTTTTATTGTCCTTCAGTAAACTCTCTATGTTTCCTTTTACCTGGAGAAACAAAGGTAACGTTTGCCCAGATTATTTAGCTCAGCAGCTCACCTCCATCTTGCACGGGTTATCAGCTATCATTATTTACAACAGCAGGTTAAGTTGTTTGAGTGTTGTGCATGAAATAAGATGTGTGAGTCCAGAGAACGCCGTCCACTTAATAACCTCTTTTTCTTCTACTCATCACTTTTCCTCTCCTTTGTTGGACCCACTCTCTGAGGCTTGATCGTGAATCTATTCCGGCCTCCTGAAAACAGAGGACTCCCTCTTTTCCTTAAATACATAAACATTAGGCAGAAACAATTACCCTGCCAGGCATATTGCACCAACACATTTGTTATGAACAATTATTGCTTTTCGTGTTGAATGGAGAGAACAAATGGAAAGACTCAAGACAATGTCTCCTGAGCGAGCATAGTATTTTCAAATGGTTTGTTTCTTTACCAGGAAACTACATTTTCCTGTCCTCTACAGCCATCAATTTTAATATTTGTATATGACTTTGGTTTCCTAATTCCCCCTAACAAAACAGTCATAGTAATCATAATTTATTAATTCAATCGTATGACTTGAAATGTCTAGTGATGAAGGCTTGAATTCCATTGCATCATAACATTTCAAAAACAGATTAAAAAAAACTGAGCGACCAAGTGATTAATGTTTAGCATTGTGTTGTTACTTGTCAGCAAGGAGGTTTTAGATTGACTAATTCATGTGTAAATAAGGGCTTAAAGGACCACTGGTGATTTAGTAGTGCACTCCCCATAAAGCAAAGTGTTGGCCTTGTCATATGTTTTATTTTTTATTTTGCTTCCCAACATGGAAAACTGTGTTGCATAAAGCTTTGGGCTTGATTTGGGTTTAGTTTTTATCTAATTTCTAATGTGATATTTTTAAACGGCAACTTCTGCAAATGTAAAAAGTTGAATAATACATTTTGGACCTGCTGAAGGAACTTTGTCAAATCTGATAAATTGCCTAAAGTGATTGGACACAAGGAGGTGTCAGAAATTGGGGTTGAAAACTACAGTTTTTTTAAAGTGAAAAAAAAATCTTGAGTCAATAAGAAGAGATCTTACTTGACCTTCTTCCCAAGCTCCTTGGCCTATAGTCGCTCGAGGTTACATTAGCCGCTACTAGCATAACAGACCAGAATGTCCAACCAAAAATGTGGTGGTGGATTCTCATTGCTTGCAGTTCGATTAATATAAGCCCAAGCATGAACAGAGCCACACATAATACTGAGCCTTAAGGACAAGCCAGTGGGCATGTTGAGGAATTTTCTATCGAGGACAGCAAAGACGCAAATAGAAATGTCTACCTGTTGACTTGGTATTCCAGACGTTGTTTGGAGGTTATTTGAGAAAATGGCTTTAGATTACTCAATCTAGTATTTTCTCAGAATTGACAAAGCTCCCATACAGCCCCAGAAGACACTAAACAAATGTTTTCATAGGCTTAAAAAGGCTCTCCGTGACTTCAACATGTAAAATAGGTGGGGTGCCCCTTTAAAATACGTGAACACACAACATTTTATTTTTTTTATCATAATGTTGTGTCACAATTTGGATGCAAGAATTGAAAAAAAAAGAATTGTTGTATTATTATTTGGGAAGAATACCAAATTGAGTGATAGAGGATCCCAAGATACTATTCGGGCCTTAAGGGTTATGTGCAATGCATGGCCAGCCACAACGAGAAAAGCTATCACAGTGCAATCACAAGCTACACAGTCAGGCTCCATCACTACCTGCTGATATCCTCATCATGCCCCCCCCCACCCCCCACCTGCACACACACCCCCCACCAAGTCAGCATGTGTGCATGTGTGTGTCAATGCATGTTGTGGTGTTAAGAGTGTTAAAACGTGAGATTATTTTCTGATGGTGTGTGTGTGTGTGTGTGTGTGTGTGTGTGTGTGTGTGTGTGTGTGTGTGTGTGTGTGTGTGTGTGTGTGTGTGTGTGTGTGTGTGTGTGTGTGTGTGTGTGTGTGTGTGTGTGTGTGTGTGTGTGTGTGTGTGTGTGTGTGTGTGTGTGTGTGTGTGTGTGTGTGTGTGTGTGTGTGTGTGTGTGTGTGTGTGTGTGTGTGTGTGTGTGTGTGTGTGTGTGTGTGTGTGTGTGTGTGTGTGTGTGTGGTTATGCAGTGTGTCGAGGGAGCTCTTGGCCCCTCGTTTAAGGGTCGAAAAGATTCTGATCAGCCCCAGACTCCATTAACAGAGCCAGGGAGGATGGGAGGGGTTTTCTTGTGCGGCCGAGTGGAACATTGAGTCCATGTCACAAACTAATCAAATCGCGCTAAAGGTGAAAGGTAGATGAAAGGAACACACACACACACACACACACACACACACACACACACACACACACACACACACACACACACACACACACACACACACACACACAGCCACACACACACACAGCCACACAAACAGAATGAGGTTGACAAGTATCCAGGCCATCTCACAAAGTCGCTGACACACACGGAAGAAGTGGACTGAGCAGATGGCTGCGGAACAAAAAGTCTGCAAGGGTCTCTGTGACAGACTTTGCATTAGCATGGCTCTGCGTCAAGCTAACCTTAGCATGGAACCCTGTGGGGAAATGAAAACCCGTTTGTAAAGTATGTTTGAGGGACCGTTTTGACTGTTGCACCCGTTGTGGTAGAACCAGGAAGACTTTGTTCAAATATTTGGTTGACTGGAAGCATGTCGCTGATGATGGCGGTGTGGGATTTTCCTTCCAGCAAGTTAAACACGCAGTGGTGACATGCTATACGATGATGTTCACCCCTTCGTGGAGTTATTGCTTTTATATCCCAGGCTTTGATAATAAGAAGGTGGAGGGCTGGTGTGGGTGGGTGGGGGGTCTGTGAAGGTAAAAGGGGCTCCCCATTTGCCACTTTTGTCTCCAACTTTACACCAGTGCATTGTGGTACGTAGAGTTCATGTAGGGTCAGTGTTGCACATTGGGAGTAGCCCTAACAACCCTGTTCAGGTGTCCGCTGGTGCCAAGTGCCCCGTGTCCTCCACCCCTCCTCCCACCCGTGTCTTTAAGCGCTAGGAGGTGGAGGTTTTGGTTTTGGATTTAGGGTCCTTCTTGCCGTTCTGGAGCACTGGCGAGTCACTGGAGGTCTTCTGCGTTTTCCTGGGCGGACTCTGCTCCACAACGTCGTGTAGAGAGGGCTCCCGGTACATGGCCACTGTGGAGGGAGAGGGTTGAATTAGTTAAAACTGAGAAGAGACAGGTGAAAGTATAAATGAAAGACTTCACTTTGTGTTTTGGTGCATAATATTTTTGTAGGTGGACCCGGAAATCAGCATCTCAAGAGCTCCCTCAACAAAAAGCAATGTAATTTTTCCATTTGACTTCGGAATAAACAAACGTTTATGATACTTGCATGTTTTCTTCGGCAGGATAATCTCCACATATTACAGCACTTTATGATTTTGTGGCACAAATGGAGTTGCCAGAAGTAAAAAGCTATTGTTAGGCTATAAATGCACCACATCCTGGTCAAATGACACCACTGCTAAGATAAAGGCGGCTAATTGTTGGCGTTGTAGATTTAAGTAGTCACTTGTTTGCATCCGCCATTTCACAACACATAGCTTCAGGCATTCAAGGTAGGGGTAACTGATAACTATTTTACATCTGTTCAACATAGCCTTCCAACAATAACTCACTCTCCCCCCCCCCACTGCAATGTTACACTTCCATATCTGCCCCCTATTTTATTTTTATGTTTTATGTCTTGTCCTTATATGTTTCTTTGTAAAGCGACCTTGAGGTTATGAAAGGCGCTATATAAATTCAAGTTATTATTATTATTATTATTATTATTTTATGTCTTGGAACAAAATGTAAAAAAACACGACAAACCTTAATTCAGGTATCTAACATCAAACCCGTTCTAAAAAAAAATACTTTGATACAAGGAAACCGGAAGTCGTCAAATGCTATTTCATCTTCAGGTTTTAGGACTCATTCCTGCACTACTCTATTTATTGTACATAGTTGTTTGACACTTTTAACATGACCTTATATATAAAAGGTCATGCTTCATATAGATACAGAAGGAGTGGGGGGGGAAATAGTAAAGGGGAGAGAACCTAAAACTAAATGAATTTCCAAACTTTTATTTTGAAATATCAATTTAATATATTTAAATGAGCAATCGATCAAATAACTTTGCATAAAGTGGCAGTCATTCTTTGGTACTTGATGTGACTTGTCTTTTCACAATTATTTTAGCTAAATGTAACAATTCCCCTGAGTATATTAGATGGTAATTCAGATCACCTATTGCACAGGTTGTCAATCAAGAATTGAGAGCAGCTTGGTGCATTTCCCTTGTGGTGGAAATTCCACACATAACAAATATTCAAGCTTAAACCAAAGTTGTGTTATTTAATAAAGAGTTATAGCATTTAACAGAATCAATATTATCTCCAGTTGGAAAGGCCAGAGGTCCTGCGCTAGTAGATAGCACCAGGATCTGACCCTGTTACAACAGAAAAACAAGCACTTTATACAGGAAAAAGACAACAGAGGGGAGCTCAGCTAGGGAATTTACATTACAGGCCATTGAGATGTTGGCCAGACGGGCGAAACATGCAGATAATTCACCCAGAAACTCTGCTCTTTAGGCCCTTTAGAGACTTTGCTGCTGATTGAACTTTTCTGATTAAGGCTGATTTTGAGCATTCTGAAACATAGCTGGGGTGAAAAAACGACTTTTCACTACCTCGAAGTGGAAGGTTTTTAGAAACCCCCTACATTGGCATCCCCTTACTTTTCAAAAATGTTTTATTTTCAGTCAGCCTTGCTTCTCCAAATTTGCCAAAATTCATTTTGTTTGACCAGTCCATCTCTGGTGGCAACATAAGAGCATTAAGAATATTGTAAGTTATATGAATCTGTTGTACCTTCAATGAGTTTAGGCAGGAAGTGCGCAGCCCCCTTTGTCTTCTTGACACGGTTCCCTTTCATGACCTGTCCATCTCGGTTGATGCCGATGTACCACGCCCGTCCTGACTGGGTCTGTCTGTACAGGATGGATGAGTAGGTGACGTAGTAGTTCTCAAACACACTCTCCTTAAACTTACACTCCGGCGTGAACTTTTCCTGAAAGACACACACAGAAAACAAAAGCTTCAGGTCAGAGAAAAAAATAAAACATCTGGCATTTTTTATCGCTTCTATTATTTATATATTTACTCTGCAATTCCACTGAACTCAGCTGGGAATGAGGGGAAATGGGCCCCACATTTCATCGTGACAGGATTACAGGAGCGTCTGTGGTTGCATCAACAACACACACACACCTATTTGCCACATGACCAGAGCGGTGTGTGAGCCGGGATGCCATAACTCAGCCGATTCGGTTTACCTGTAACAAACAATCACGGGATCCTTCACCCCCCTCTGTAGTAAACTGTCGGCCTTCAGCGCACACACACACACACACGAAGCTCTGCATTAGGCGATACGTCAACACCGGGACATCCCCCACCCTCATCCCTCTATCTCACTCTCGTTACAGCCCTCACATATTCCCCCTCTATCTCATATTCTGCACTTCATTCCCCCATCCTTTCATCATTTGGTAACCTTGTTGAAGGAACAAACCAATTTGCAGGATTGATTTGGAGCCTTGATGTGACGGGTGAGCAGAAAAGGCCTGAATAAGGACTTTGCTCTCTCTCTCTCTCACTCATTCATCCCTCACTCTTCCTCTCTCTCTGTACTCGTCGGCCACTGCAGGGCCCTAACGTCTGCCTATATCCATTGTACCGCACATAAACAAGCTAATTACATTGACTGTATCGCCCATTTCATAATTACACATCCATTCACTTAGGCGGCCATTCCTTTCCTCAGCCACCCATTAACTGAGGTCTAATAGCACAGAGCCAAATCCAAAGGTCTGGAGCCTCTTGGAAGGTGTAATCAGATCGCTGTTATTAACCGTGTTTGCACTGCAGTGTGTTGCATCTCATCTTCTTTTGGTAACACCTGATCACCAGCACACACACAACCAAAAACAGGCTCAAGTTCATTATTTGACTATGAGTTATAGGGAATTTTCCAGGTATGGTCTAAATGAGGCCTGTATCATTACCAATCCATGACCAAGCTACTGCAAAAGAGGTATTTTCGATGATCCATAATCATCCTGGGAGACCCAACAGAGGAAATATAGAGGCTGGATTTTCCAACCCCAGGCAAACGCTGACTTTGTGATTAAAGATAAAACTTTAGGAGGCCATTTATGATGTTTCCTCTGAGAATAGTCCATTAGATCGTGACATTTTGGGTCCATTTACAGCCTACGTGCTGTAGATACCTAAGGAGCCCACATATAACTGAAGCAGAATGTTGAGATACTTTACTTAAAAATGTTTGTTTGATGCTTGTTACAGTATACTTTTTTTCGTAAATATTGGAGGACAAAATTAACCACATTTTCCAGCTCACATTAAAATGACCACTTGTAGTGTTTTTGCAATGTCACTTTACATGAACCTACATAATGATAGTTATCTGTTAGCGATACAATTCATTCTAATCTATATCCTCTTTAGAGTCTATACTGTCTGTTATTGTAGAGGTATAAGTGTCAGCAATAAGTAATGTTCCCTTTTTTACAAGTGTCTATCCAATGCTGTTGCCCTCTAAAAAGATGGCTGACAATTTCCTTCTACTGTATGCATCACTTTTCATACTTCTTTATTTCTCCATTGTAAAACATGACCTCCAGTCAGTAAACATCATAGGCTGAGCAGTAAAAATGGGCAAGAATCTGTTCTGTTTTCAGTGAATCATACATTTTAGATTTCCCCTTGAAAAATAAACCTTTACTATTACTACTCAGTGTTATGCTTAGCATGGCACTACGCCGGCAGAGTCCCCCTGCAGAGAAACACAAAGACTTCCTGGCTCACACGCTTGATTGCATGAGAAAACTTTTTTGTCAAAAGAATGATCCAACTATTTCATTTTTATTTCAATACATGAAACACTTTTTTCTCTTTGTGAAGTTTCCATCAGTCCACTTTTGTCCCAGCCAGACTCCCACCACTTGTACTTAGTCACACACACTCGGGGTGCCATCAGCGATGATGCTTTATAGGATAACACACTATTAAACAGTCATTTACAGAGACACATTATTCACCCAGCAGAGACACAGGGGACATATGCACATCTGTCTGCAGAGTGTTTACTCTGACTGCACTTCAGGCTGATTTTACATTGTGATTTACTCTCTAAAACAAAGTGAGAAAAAAAGCTTCCTTACACACTGGAATGAAGATAATTCAGAATGACCGACAACTGTTCTCGTCTCACACCCTCCAGGAGTGGGGGAATGACACGCAGCGGTGGAAAGGCGTAGAGCATGTAAATAGGATAGAATAGAGCCCAATGTACCGGACAGAGGCTCTAGACTCCCTTCCTCGCACCAACGTTGGAATCCAAACCACTCCGTCCTGTAACAGGTTGTGGTGGATCCCACTTTTGCTGCCTGGATAGTCTGTCTAACATTGTCAGACAGTCCACCCCTTCTCAGCCTGTCCCTCTCAGGAGCCAAGCCTGGAGAGGTTGGCCCAGATTGGGTAACGCCCCTATTGCACCTGCTTCCTGAGACAGCCCCCCCCCAGAACTGAGGGACGGTCCACGGCTGGCCCACCATCATTTGTGTCACTTCTGCGTACCACGGCGCGGAGCAGCGACCTGGGGCTACCAGAATGACCGACAACTGTTCGGGTCTCACCCTCTCCAGGAGTGGGGGAATGAGACGCAGCGGTGGAAAGGCGTAGAGCAGCTTTCTTGGCCATGGCTCGTGTGCAAACGTCTCCACCCCCAAGGGTGGATTGTCCTGCCGAGCCAGGGAGAACCCCCATTCGTCTGGCAGGGGCCCGTCTCTTGATATGAGGCCGGCCCCCCTGTTCTCCAGTCCCGGAATGTGGAGGGCCTTATGGCGCGTTTCCACTACAGCCCGCAGCCCGGTTTAAGAGGGCTGTGACGTCAGCGGCCCGTCTTTGGTTGCGTTTCCACTTGGCCTAGTACCGGCCGGCGGGTCCTAATTCACAGTTTTTCTGGCCTCATAAAATCGTGGGTCCAGGGCCAGAGACAACGAGGCTGAGTCGGGCTGAGTATGCTAAACTAGAGAGAGCGTCGCTGGCAAGGGGGCAACAACTACAACAAGATGGACATATTTGACCGTGATTTAATTGTAATACACGTTTCAAAATGATGCCGAAGTAACAACATACTGATACCGGTTAGTAAAAACCATGAATTAATGCTTTGTCAAGTCTGCAGACAGACGGCAGGGGAAAAACCTTTTAAAATGCTTGTTTTCTAAATGGAGATTGGCTAAGCTAACGCAGTATATGCTCTGACCGTCCACACTCACAACAACGGCCTATACAGACATAAATAAAGCAGCGACTGTATTCACCATGACACAGGCAGTCTGTGGTTTGTACTTGTTTAACTTTTGTCTAGTTTCTGAATATATATGAGGAGCTGTGAGCTCTGAGTGCTAACAGCTAACGGCTGTGTTGTTTTTCTGGGGTCCTCTGAAGATCACGTCACGGCTCCGCCTACACTGCGTTACTATAGATACTGCCCCAGTTCCTAAACTGTAATGGAAATGCGCCATAAAGTGAGCCAGTCCTAACGAGGCCCAGCCATACCGAGCGGGGCCGAGCGAGGCCGTGTAGTGGAAACGCGCCATTAGAGATAAAAACATTCTCTGAGGCCCACAACCACAGGTTCTCCGCTGCGCTCAACAAGGCGTCGGAGCTGACTCCGCCCTGCCTGTTGATGTACGCCACTGTGGTGCAGTTATCGCTCCTCACCAGCACATGTTTTCCCTGTAGTAAGATTTTTAAGTGCTGTAGGACCAGTACTACTGCCTGTAGCCCGAGAAGGTTGATGTGCCGGGTCTCTGTCAGAGGCCAGCAACCACCTATAGCTGTCTCTAGGCAGGTCCCTCCCCATCCTGTCACGGACGTTCTTTTTTTCTGTGAACACCGTGGCATAGGAGGTCAGCTGCCCCAGTGGAGTCCCCTTCAGCAAATGCTTTGGGGACCCCCAGTATCGGAGGTTGCCCTCCACTGATGGGGGATGATCACCAGACATCGTTTGTGTCTCTTGGGATCTAAACGAAGGCTGGCAAACCACCTCTGTAGGCGAGGCATGTGCAGTAGCCCCAGCGGTACCACGTGGTGAGCAGCCGCCATGAGACCCAAGGTCTGCATGATGGTCAGGACTGTCACCGTTGCCCCCCGTCACAGTCTGAAAACTGCCTGAAGCAGGGACGTCTGTCTGTTCTCTGACAGAGTGGCACGTAGTAGCCTGCCCTCTTTCTCGATGGGGGCGTACACCTCTCCCACGATGGGGACGTACACCTCGGTCTTGATGGGGGCGTACACTGAACGTGCGTGGGGACAGGGAGTAGCCAAACGGTAGTCTATTGTACTCACAGGCTATCCCCTGGAAGGCAAAATGCAAACACTTCCTGTGTTTTGGAGCAATTTCGACATGAAAGTAAGCGTCCTTCAGGTCGATGGTTGTGAACCAATCGCCCGGCTGCACCAGTTCCAGTAACTGTTTAACATGTGGGACTTTTTTGCAGGAGGTGTAGCTGCCTTATATACTGTGAGGCCTGCGCGCGCATTCAGGTAGGCTCGCCCTGATTGGCCGGCTACGATTATGCAAATTCAGTGTGTGAACGCTCGCGTATCATTGATGAAGAGTAGTACCCAGGGGTTAAATTGGGCCGGGGCTGTCCGGGGCTCAGCCCCGGCACCTAGGACGATGCTCTGACGTCATCACCCTTGCACATTTGTACAAAAAACTATATATATGTTAAAACTTTTTTCGTTCTTAATATAGACTATATTTAAGGTTCGATATGTGTTGACTTTACTTTAAAATAGCAGATCTCTGTGACCGAATATAGTTTTTCGGCTTAGTGAACGTGTGTCTCTGCTTCCGATCAGGAGCTGCAGCACCAGCCGCCGGACCGTGCAGAGAGTCTGCAGCGGTTCCGCCAAACCCCCCGACCCGTCCTGTAACACGGAGCCGTTTCTTAAACCATGCAAAATGTATGT